CTAAAGCTGCTTAACCACTAAGCTCTGAATTACTGAGCTCCTCAAAACCATCCCAGTGGGGTTCAGGCTCATCATAATGACCTGGAGGACTTGTTGGAACACAGAACACTAGGCCCTGGCCCCAGAGTTTCTGAGTCAGCAGGTCTGGGTGAGGTGGAAGTTTTGCAGGTTCCCGATGATGCAAATACATTAGTGACTGGGAGGACTACACTGCCCCTGCCTTGCCAGGTGCCCTGCATCACTGACAGCAACAGTGAGTTTGTAATGGAGGGGAAGGACTTGTACGTGTTATTCCATAGGCCATTTTCAGTAGGGTGTATCCCATACATTATTCAAAATGACTTTAGGGAGAAAATTATTACCGTCATAAAGTGGTGCTGGTTTCTAGGTTAAATTCAGGGTCATGCCGCTGTGATTATGTTTTTCTTTGCAACTATTTATGAAAAGCCTTCTACCTGCTGTGTCCTTACCTCTACAGTGGGAGAACTTAATGTCCATCTGAAAATGGTAACAAAACCATTTATTAATTAAAGGTGAAAATTCTCCAGGATTAGTGTCTCCCTCATCCCTTTACCTTTTTGGTTGGGATGTCCTATGTTTAGCCTTTGGCTTCATAGCCTCTGATTATGATACGACTTACATTCTAAACATATGGAATAGGGAGAGTTAATCCATTTAGAGAGATTGCTCCTCCACTTGACCTGTCAATTCTCCTTGTCATTTTGTACCACCCAAACCAATAGTAACCACTAATCTATTCTCCATCCCCATAATTAAGTTACCTCATGAAAGTTTTGTGAATGGAATAGTGTGGTGTTTACTCTGTTGAGATTGGCTTAGACTCTGCTGATTTCCTTGAAACTACACGTATCAATAGTTTGTTCCGTTTATTCTCAGAGAAGTACTCTGGGCTTTGGAAGCACTGCAGTTGGTTGCATCATTCAGTTTATCTAGATGGTTTTCCATTTGGGGGCTATTACAGATAAAACTGGGAACATTTGTGGCCGAGTTCCTACACATAAATAAGTTTTCATTTCTCTGGAATAAATGCCTAGGAGTTCAATTTCTGGGTCATACGGTGAGTCCATTTTTGGTTTGAAAGGGAACTACCAAACTGTATTTCATAGTGGCTGTACCACTTCAGCTTCTATCAGCAATGTATGAAGGGTGCTAATTTCTTCCCATCAGCACTTGTTTTTATCTTTCCTTTTCTCCTAGCCATCCTAGTGGGTATAAAATGGTATCTCATTGTAGCTGGGATTTGCATTTCCCTAATGACTAATGATGTTAAGAATCCTTTTATGTGCTTATTGGCATTTTCTATATGTTCTTTGGAAAATGCCTATTCAAATTCTTAGTTTTTAATTTGGGTCATTTGTCTTTTTATTGTTGAGTCAGAAGAGTTCTTTATATATTCTAGATAAAATCCCTTATCAGATATAGGTGATATGACTTGCAAGTGCATTCTCTCCCTCTCCCCCTCTCCCTCCTCTCCCTCTCCCTCTCCCCCTCTCTCCCCTCCCTCTCTCCCTCCTCCCCCTCTCTCCCTCCCCCCTCTCTCCCTTTCTCCCTTCTCTCCCTCTCCCCCTCTCTCCCCTCCTCTCTCTCTCTCCCCTCCTCTCTCCCTCCCTCTCTCCCTCTCCTTCTGGGTTGCCTTTTCTGCTTTCTTGGTCCATGCTAGAGGGATGGGGTGCTCAGGCTTCCCAACTACAGGGTGGAGCTGGTAGGGACTGGTAATGGAACAGGATATGGCTCGATTATCACAGACTTTGTAGATGAACTTGATTGGACACTTCTCTGTTTGCTGTGATCCCCTCAGAACAAATTCTAAGGACTTTAAATAACTTTTATCAGCTAAATTATTGTTTTGCTAGGGAACATGACTGCAGAGTTCTGTATGTGTTGTTCTGGAAGACTGGTCTTCTAGAATCTCTTTGTATAATACAGGGTGTTTTACATACTGAATTCTTATCAGGTTTTGTAGTTGTCCTGTGACTTTCTGGTAGATGGAACAACTAAGGAAAACCTTCACTGCACTGCATCCATAGGAAAGGGTGTGTCTGAAAGAGCTGTTCTGGAAAGAGTCACTGACTAAATGAATGGGTTTGAACATTTGGAAGCAAGTAGAAGTGGGGTATGAGAGCCACAGTGGGTGGGGGAGAAGGCACCAAACACTTGACCAGCCAGAACCGTGATCTGCCCTGCTTGTGGGGCATCTTTGCCCCTTCCGTTCAGACACACCAGTCCTTCATAGGCTCGCTGTCCATAAAGCTCAGGAGAGACTGTTTCATTGATGGAGCACACTTAGAAATCTGAATGAAAATAATTGTTCTAAGTTCATGGAAAATGGAATCAAAAGAGAAGTGTACTTTGGTGCAGAAAAGGCTTGTAATCCATGCATAGTTTTTTTCATGGCATGCATTTCCCATGAACTTTTTGAGGACTATCCAAGCACCAATACATGTCATGGTCGTGGAGACCTTGAGAGCAGTGGATATTCTCAAAGGACATTCCTTTATCATACTAAAAGCAATCACATGAAGAATACTAGAATGTTACAAGTGAATCATCGGTCACATAACCCAGCTGGCTCGTGTTTGTGGAGGAAGACACTGAGGCTCGGGTAGCTCATGCTCTGTTCTGTCCCGTAACTGCCCGCCAGCATTGTGCCTCTTGCTGAGGTGCTCCTTCCCACAGCCCCCTTTTCCTATCCAGGAGGTGGATACAAGCTTCCATCACGTCCGCTCCATTGGCCACATCAGCAACTCATCCTTTTATACAAGCATTTGAAAGTCACCAGTCTAGTATAGCTGTTACCTGAATTTTTCTGTTTTTCTTCTTCCTCTCTCTCCACCTTTTCCCTAAAGTAATTCTGCAGCTGGCAACTTTGAGACTTGTTACAGTCCGGAACATTAATAGGGTCTTACATTTTTAGCAGCCTAATGATGAGCATGTAGGACCTTCTATGCTCGTCCCTCAGGGGTTTCTATTCTTGGTATTTATTAAACCTTGTGGTTTTGGTCTGAAGTATATTCAACCTTCCTACATTTAAAAAAATTCAGTTTAAACTTTATACATATGTTTGTGTTTGTGTGTGGGTGTTACACATTTCCTTCTTCTCCGGCCACTAGATTCAGACATTATCAATGTTGGAACTTGCAGATACTTATCAGTTATTTTCTGTGTTTGATGAGGAGAGAGAAGCCATTGTTATCATAATATAATATTTTTTATTTAGTTAAATGTGAGCCTTCTTAAAATCTATTCTTCTTTGAAGTCTGTTTTGCAGTTTAATTAATGCAGCAAGACTTTTTTTATTTTACTCTCAGTGGAGATAATCTTAATCTATTCACAGTGACCTTTTCTTGTGCAAATTAGTTGTACACGCTTGTTTAAGCAAATGGTCCTTTGCATGATGTCTCTTCTTAATGACGGGTTTATAATTGAAAATTGGCTTACTCCCATATGCCTAGTTTGTATGAGAATATAAAAATAGATGTGGACTTTAAAAATATAAATGTATATATCAATATCCCAAAAAGAGAAGGTAAGAATCCAGTGCCTCCAGGCAATGATTAAATTAGACTATTAGAGTCAGAAAATGCTGGTGACATATGCTACTGTCAAAGTCACACCTGTCTGCTCAGCATTGGAAGCTCTTGAAAAATGAGAATGATTTTATCTTGGCTCTGAGAACCGAGGCCTTCACAGCACAGGAGCCATCTTGAGTTTCCCAACTTTCCTGAAACTCTTAATGAACTTGAAACTGCATGTGCTTGTGATCATCACTTTTAATGTGACAGTCCTTAAGCAAAATGAAATGCTTTGTGTGTTTCCTAAGCCTCACCAGCATAAAAAGACCAATGACACCCTCATTATATTTTGTATTTTTTGAAAATGCGAAAAGAATGTAAGAACATTTAACAGCATTGCATGAAAGAAGTGACTGCCTATTCTAGAGCCCAGTTTCTATGCCCCCAGTATCTTTTTTTTTTTTTTTGGTCTTTTTATTCCTTTTTCACATTTCTTGTTTCTTGGCTAGCTTCCTTGTCTCTCACCTCCTCTTTCTCCTGGAAGTCATGTCAGCCATTCTTATCTGAAACCACTTGCTGAGGTAGCTGAATGTTCTTGGTTAAATGTAGAAACGCCAGCTTGAAGGAGAAAACATACTTTTGTGCTTGTGACAGAGGATCACCAAGTCATTTTGAATAGCATGGTTTAGAGGGTGGGGAACTGGAACAATTTTTGTTTTGCTGAATGGCACGGCCTTAAAGAAAAAAGGCGCCGGCGCTGCGGCTCACTAGGCTAATCCTCCGCCTAGCGGCGCCGGCACACCGGGTTCTAGTCCCGGTCGGGGCGCCGGATTCTGTGCCGGTTGCCCCTCTTCCAGGCCAGCTCTCTGCTGTGGCCAGGGAGTGCAGTGGAGGATGGCCCAGGTGCTTGGGCCCTACACCCCATGGAAGACCAGGAAAAGCACCTGGCTCCTGGCTCCTGGCTCCTGCCATCGGATCAGCGCGGTGCGCCGGCCGCAGCGCGCCGGCCGTGGCGGCCATTGGAGGGTGAACCAACGGCAAAGGAAGACCTTTCTCTCTGTCTTTCTCTCACTGTCCACTCTGCCTGTCAAAAAAAAAAAAAAAAAAATTAAAAAAAATTAAGAAAAAAGAGAGGCAACAGCAGCAGCCAGGACTTGTTCTTTCTTAAGTCAGGGGAGGGGAGAACAACCTATTTTATGTGGACCCAACAGTCTGGTTTTGGAAGGAAAAGGCTGGAAAAGTCAAATTGTGACCAGGACTATGAGACTTGTCTGTTGTGTACTGTGGGGATGAGAGAGCCCCAAGGCAGTGTCCACCATCACAGTTCACATTTGTTTTCCTTTGTACAACGGCACCCCGCCTCACCCCCATAAATGGAAAAGTGAAAATCCGTGCACATGTACACCCACCAGTGCTGAACCATGCCAACAGAGCTTCATCTGCTGACTCCTCCTCCTCTCTCCGCAGGTATGATTATCGGGAAATGCTGCACAATGCCACTTTCTGTCTGGTTCCTCGTGGCCGCAGGCTTGGGTCCTTCAGATTCCTGGAGGCTTTGCAGGTAAGAGACCCTGAGACCTCCCCAGAAGAGGGCTGAGGCTGGAAGTCAGACTTTCCCATCCCTCCTGGAGTGGTTTCCTTGGAGGTTCTGAGATTTTCCCCAAGACAATCTGAAATGTGCTCTAACTGTGGCGAGTGGAGGGAGGGGGCTTTACTCCTTGGCTTCACACATGAGAGTTGATGGTTTGGCCACCAGGGGCGGTGGGTTCTTTGGGGACATCTTTGCAAACAGAAGGCAGATCTGATTGCCATCCTGGCCTGCCAGACAGCCTAGCTGGGCTCCTGGAAGGGGCCCTGCCCTTTCCCTGGAAGCCAATCTCAAGGGCATTGGAATTGGTCTATTGTCAGCACTCCACCAAAGCAAAATTGTTTTATTCCTGTCTTGATCATCGCTTCCTTCCTCCAAGTTCTGAGAGTACTGCCCAGCAGGTCAGAGGTCCTGGATCCAGCCCAGAGCCTGTGTGGGAGCCTCTCTGCTCATCAGCCTCAGTCCACAGAAATGCCTTCCCCTGACCGAGAGAGGTGTCCATATTTCCCACTGGAAGTTGCGATCCCATGCCCTTGCTGCCTGTCCTCCTTCATTCTTTGTCCCTTGGCTGCTAAGTTCTTTCTTCCTCTCTGTTCCACCTTGCCTGAAGCTGTGCTTTTGCTGCAGTACTTTAAACTTCCCATCCCTGTCATCCTAAACACAGAGCATCCTGCCGTGTCCTCCCGTAGAACAGCTTCCCTCCTCTTGAAAGTCCTTCCCAGAGAGCTCCGTGCGTCCTACTAAGGAGGCCATCACCGATGTTCCTGTAGCTTCCTCAGACACTGCACAGACTGTTCTCTGGTTTGGGTGATTGGTTATTTGAAACCAATGTTTTGTCATTAGCCCGGGATCTCTTGGTTAGATTGCAGTGTGGATACTAAATTGATAGGACTGTGGCTCCAGCCAGTCCACACCAAAAGGGCCAAGGTCCTGCTTCAGGTGTTTGCACAGCAAGGGGAAGGTTAAGTCCACTAAATGCCTCCTGGGAATGCTGGGCCCCATTCTGCAGCTCAGGACATTGGGTACGCCGCTGTGCCTGTGGCGTGTGGCCGTTACCTTGACAAAACCGTTTACATTCAAGGTTGGTTTTATGCTCGGATTTTGTTGGTGAAAGCTTTTGTTACATCGATAAAACTTCTGCAGAGAGGCCGGTTGTTTCGATGGAAGTAAGGTCAGCCAAACCATGTACTAGAATAGAAATAGGGTCTTAGCATTCTAGGGCAAGACTTACAAATATTAAGATCTAGCTAGCCTGGATACATACAGCCGTCATGTGACTTAATAACTCCCAAATGCTTGCTTTCCTTCTGGCCTGAGCCGTCCAGTAACCATGCAGCGCCAGAAATGCCCATAATTGAATTCGTCCTGATTTCACTGCAATTGGAACAAATCCGCCGTTGCTTTCCGCTCACTCACGTGGTCCCTTCTTTGCTCAGGCCGCCTGCGTCCCTGTAATGCTCAGCAATGGATGGGAGCTGCCATTCTCTGAAGTGATTAATTGGAACCAAGCTGCCGTCATAGGCGACGAGAGATTGTTATTACAGGTAAGCAAGGTGCAGATATGGCCGCCCCGTCCACACTTGCGAAGAAGATGAATCCGAAAGGTCAGCTCTAGAAAAGAAACCTTATCGGGAGAAAATTGCCTGTGTCATGGGGAATATGAAGTCATTTAATAGGACATCGCTCACTTCCCACCACAAAATCTGCCCAGGTCTGTGGGATAGAGTCTGGAAAGGAGAATTCGCTGGTTGAGAACGTGAGCCTGGCTGGTGACAGGTGGTGAATCTCCATCCCATCCCTAACCAGAATTTTGTAGAAATGAAAGCAGAGAGACTTTACAGCACCCTGCAACTTCATGTTCCTTTTTCCTGTCGCCGCATTTGGCTTCAGATTGATTTTCAGAAAGAGAGAGCTTTCTAGGCTGGGTTTTTGTTGTTGGTGTTATCATTACTCAGATGATCCAGTCGGGGAGCCTGAGCAGGTGTTATCTTTAGGATGTACGTTATCAAGAGTATCCTCTAAGAGAGTCTGAATGGCCCAGGAGCTGTGTAGGGAGGGACATTAACAATAGTCACAAAGGACTCAGAGGGTGGGACTAGCCAGGAAGAAATTCTAAAGTCCCTTTGTCTGATAATGTTTTAGGCTCAACTAAAAGTCTACTCCTTCTTTCTAAAATTATGGAATATTTTAATGTTTTTCTTTCATGGTACTATATACTGTGTCTCCAAACCATCACAAATATTTGTAGAATGACTTCATTTATGTCCTTTTTTAAAAAAAGATGTCTAAAAAATGGCATTTCTTTGTCATGGGCTATCCTTCTGAACTGCTGGAGCGCTCTCCCTGAATTACAGGTGAAATGTGTAACTGAGAGGGCCAGGAGCTGACAAGCCCAGGTGTCCCCAGCTCCCGAAATGTTCCTTTTGTGTGGTCCTCACCACTTAGGTCTGGGACCTCAGGTACAAGAAGGAAATGTCATCTGCAGTATGGCAGATTGTGTTCATTTGGGATGGTTCTGCCCTAAATATAATGCAGTGTCTTAGGTGTTCATGAAAGAGCCTGGCATTTTGGGGCAAGGACTACATTGTTGGCAATGCTTCTCTATTCTGATTTCCTTGAGGAAATCCTTGCAGAAATTCTGAGGAAGAATTCACACACAGAAATCTTGCATGCCTAAATCATTCAGTAGGAAAAAACCAAATGAAAGTGATATATGCAGTGCTTTTTCATATGGCCTTTTTCTTCTTTTCTTTTTCTAAACCATACACACTCATGGAAGGAGGTTTTTAGAAGTAAAGGACATGAGGAATATTAGGCATGATCCCTCCATGTATGTGCCCACGTACCTGTGAATTTTTTTAAAGATTTATTTAATTATTTGAAAGGCAGAGTTACAGAGAGGCAGAGAGAGAGAGAGAGAGAGAGAGAGAGAGAGAGGTCTTCCACTGGCTCACTCCCCAGATGGCCACAATGGCCAGAGGTGGGCTGGAGCTGGGCCAATCCAATGCCAGGAGCCAGCAGCCCCCCTCCAGGTCTCTTTTGCGGGTACAAGGGCCCAAGGACTTGGGCCATTTTCTGCTGCCTTCCCAGGCCATAGCAGAGAACTGGATCGGAAGTAGAGCAGCCGGGACTTGAACCGGCACCCATATGGGATGCCAGCACTGTAGGCGGCAGATTTACCCACTACTCCACAGCTCCGGCCCTGTACCTGTGAATTTGGTTTGAAACAACTTAGGAGTTTGATCTTGAGAGAGAGATTCCAGGTGACATTTTGGTTTTCTGGTTGCTGCCATTTCACCAAAGTTGATGAGCATTTAGCCTCCTGAAGCAACTTTTTGGCTTGACTCTGAAGATTTTTGTTTTCATTCAACCCCCCTTGCACCCAAACTTGCTGGTATTTTTCTCCTCCCACATGCAGTCTGTCTTTGTACAGCTGCCTTCATATTGAACAGCAACCATACTGTCGTTAACAATGGTTTTAAGGAGTTGGCATTGAGCCCAAATGTCTGCTCTGGGAAATGTTTTTGTTATAGTACAAATTTTCATTTCCTGTTTTAGAACAGTTAAGATGTTTTTATTTGCATGTATTCTTGTCATCATGTCACCAAGAGAGCTCACTGTGGCTTTCCTGTATCTGTTTTGGTAGATTCCATTAGATCTGTAGCCATACCTGACCTTACTAAGGCTTCATTGAGTTCTGCAACTTCAGTTCAAACTGGCTAAACGGCAATGAGATTGTCACTTTGCCCTACCTTTCTCTTAAGTCAAGGAGATTAATAACCAATAGCAAAATGCCATGAGAACTTGGAACTCTGTCTTTCCAATCCATTGGAATTGTCTTCTGGTCCATTGGAATTGGAATTGCACTTTGCAGAGTGTCAGACACAAACCAGCAGAGTATCTTGCATGTGATGTAGCAAAGTCAAGATGCAGCTATATAAATATGAGAGAGGGCAGTGTATTCATGGGTGAATCTGTGATGTCCTTTTCTCCTTTTGTAAGCTCTGCAGACTTAATTTTATGGTGGCCACATAGTTTTAATAGCTTAATGCATTTTCCTAATGGATTGGTTCCTTATGGCCACGATGAAACAGTGATGCCAGTTCATATGACTCTTAGAAAATACAGTTGACATTTTGAAAAGGGTATGCTGATCATGTACAGGATAATTTTTTTCTAGTCTTTCTTTGGCAATGTAGGTGGTTTTCTCATAAGTAAATAAAAATAAAATTTCTTTGACTTACTAATGTGCATGGTTTCCGTACCTTCTCCAAGGATGTTTTATACCCATTTGACCTTGACCTCTGATTTCAGGTTCTTATTTGCCTGCTAGTGTTTTTTCATTGCTCTGAATCCAGATACAGAGTTTGGGGCCAAGGCTTAATATCTGGTTTTAGACCTTGCCTCAGCAACTGAGCTTTTCCTTCTGTTCTTACTGTGGGTCAGTCCCATTGCTCTTCCTGAGAGGAGTTCTGAATCAAATAATGTGCTGCCATACCCTTCACCCTTGTGGAAACTCAGTCACAGGCTTAGTCAAATGCCACAAGTAACTTTCCTATTAAAGCAGCAAACAGAGCCTTCCCCCTTTGGTCTGAGCTCTCTGATTAGTCATGCATTAGGGAGGTGAGCATGCAGAAAGAGGTGAGCACAAAAGGGCAGTTGCCAGTCACAAGGAATCTCCCCTAAGAATAGAGATTCCTCAGATGAAATAGACCTTGAACTATAGGTAAATATAGGGAGCAAGTCCAGAGCATTGCCAGGAACCCAGAAAGTACATTTCAGAGCTACAGATCCAAGCAAATTAACATGCAGACATTAAGCACTTGGTCCAACTTTGAATCGAATCAAGCAGTCCAACTTTGAGTATAATCCTAATGTCAGAAAGTCAGAGTTACACAGAGAGAGGAGAAGGAGAGAGAGAGAAAGAGAAAGAAGGAGAGAGAGAAAGAGAGAGAGAGAGAAAGAGGTCTTCTATCCAATGGTTCACTCCCCAATTGGCCACACGGCTGGAGCTGCACCGATCCGAAGCCAGGAACTAGGAGCTTCCTCCGGGTCTCCCATGTGGGTGTGGGGGCCCAAGGACTTGGGCTATCTTCTTACTGCTTTCCCAGGCCATAGCAGAGAGCTGGATTGGAAGTGGAGTTGCTGGGTCTCAAACCGGCACCCGTGTGGGGTGCCGGCGTTTTAGGCCAGGGTGTTAACCCACTGTGCCACAGCAACGGCCCCCATAATATATCTTAATTGAGCTTCCCATGATCAGGTTCTGTGCTAAATACTCACATAATCTACCTTACAACTTTATGATGTTAGAACTGTTTTTATCATCTTATAAATGAAGAAATGGAGTATTTGAAAGATCATCTAGGCCGGCGCCGCGGCTCACTAGGCTAATCCTCCGCCTAGCGGCGCCGGCACACCGGGTTCTAGTCCCGGTCGGGGCGCCGGATTCTGTCCCGGTTGCCCCTCTTCCAGGCCAGCTCTCTGCTGTGGCCAGGGAGTGCAGTGGAGGATGGCCCAGGTGCTTGGGCCCTGCACCCCATGGGAGACCAGGAAAAGCACCTGGCTCCTGGCTCCTGCCATCGGATCAGCGCGGTGCGCCGGCCGCAGCGCGCCGGCCGCGGCGGCCATTGGAGGGGGAACCAACGGCAAAGGAAAGACCTTTCTTCCTTTCTCTCTCTGTCTCTCTCTCTCACTGTCCACTCTGCCTGTAAAAAAAAAAAAAAAAAAAAAAAAAAAAAATCATCTAACTTGTCCAAGGGAACCCAGCTAGTAAATGGTAGAGCCTAGAATCTCACTTTTGTCTTTTGTCTGACACCTGTGCCCTTATACTTACCCATTAAGTTATACTGCTATTAAAAATAATGATATCCCTATGATGGCCTCAAATGGTAATACTCTATCAACTCTTATTTCTTGAATAGGTACTACCTAAAAGCCACTCTACTAGGCTTAAAATATGTAGCAAAATGAAAAGACATAGATCCTTCCTATAAAATTATTTCGTAGAGAGTGGTGACGGTTAAAAATACATGACATTTGAGAGATTGAGTTAGATTATCTAAGAAGACCTTTTGCAGTTATTTTGTAATTCCTGGGGACAGATCTTAAACGTCCTTAGAGATGAAGTCTTTTGGGCTTCCCTTAAGGCTAAAACTACCTTTCTGCAAAACTCAGTTGCCCGTGTACAGGGTCAAGGATTTCTGGGACTCTAAAAGGAGGAAACAGCAATTGTGACTGCAGGAACAACCTGTGCAGTGATACGCTGCTGCGGAGCCTTAGAGCTGAGCTACGTTAATACATAATTTTCATGCATTGGAAGTCTTTGAGTCCGGTTCGCATTCAGGGTTCTTTGTACCTGACACTTCTTAAGGACATTTCAACTCAGAGGTTGGCAATATTTGGTAGGTCTGTGTGCCAGAAGTTGAATGCTGTGAATAAAAGCCTCTTGCAGTTGGGTTGTTTCAGTCACATGCATCTTTTTGTTTTACAGTTATAATTAGTGTGTGTTCACCTTGTGTTACAGATTCCTTCTACAATCAGGTCTATTCATCAGGATAAAATCCTAGCACTTAGACAGCAGACACAATTCTTGTGGGAGGCTTATTTTTCTTCAGTTGAGAAGATTGTATTAACTACACTAGAGGTAAGTGAGACTGCTTGGATCTTGAACTTGAAGAATGGGCCTTTATATATGTCTCTCAGCCTTTTGTTTTGTTATTAGTAATGTGTGATTGATCAGCTTCAATAAAACCACATTTCATGTACTTGGATATGTCAGTTAACCCTCTTTTACCTGCCTGACCATGCCCAAGTAAAACCCCTGTTTCTGAAAAACTCCAAGAGGAATATTGCCATAAGGAGAAATTATATTCCTTGACCCCAAGATTGTCTCTGTCTTACATCATTTCAAGAGCCCATGGATAATGACTCTCTTCCTGTCATTCACACTCAATGGCACCCTTTGAAAACATATTTCCGGAGCTCATTTAGAAAAAAAGATAGCGTAAAGGATAATCCTCTTCATTCCAAAAAATGTGAGCAGTTTACTGAGCCCCATAGTCTCATTGCACTGGAGAACAGCAAAATTAATCTTAAAGCATAAAACCCAGCTGACCAGGATCAATGTTGCAAGGTTTAATTAAGATCAAAATCGGTGTTGCACCCATCTGCTGCAGAAGGGGTTAAAATTTATGAGAGAAAATCTTACAGGCAGATGGGTGCCCATCTTCAAGTTGCCTTTTTTAACACAGGAGGAGAAAGAGAAAGGGAAGCCTTGAGATGATTAAAACCATTGGCAACAGAGCAGATAGGAATGGCCTGAGGCTATAGCAAAGTAATGCAAAGAGCTAAGAAAAGATTGAAGAACTGCACATCATGAATTACCGGCTTTTGGGCAGGAGAGTAGACGTCCTCTGGTGAGGTGGAGTGTTGAGGTGGTGCTGGGCTGTTCACAAATGAGCTGGGGGCATTTATGGCCTCACTTTTCAAGTATTTTCTTTGGAAAAGTATTTACTGCTCCAAAAGCTAATGTAATTGGGAGCATACACTGAGAAGTCAGATTAATACCCAGGAAATTAGAGTCTCCCTGTAGGTCTACGTCTCTGTTTTCATACCATCCCGAGTGTCAGAGCCAGAGTGGGCTGTGCCTCGGGCACACGGGGCCCTTCTCCACCTGTAGCCTCACCTGTGCTCCTGCTCTTACCTGCAGGTGAACCCCCATCAGTATCCTTTCAGGCACCATGTGCATTTTTTTCATCCTGGAACTAAGTGGAAGAGCTCTTTGGGACCCAGGCCCATCCCCATGAAGGGTCACAGTGGCTTCCAGGGGCTTCTTTGTTGCAAGCAGCCTTTGCTTTTTCCTCAATGAAAATCGGTTGAGTTTTCACTTCTGTTGAAAGCAGCAGTCTTGTTTTCTATGCAGGACCCTTCCTAGGACATTTCTTAAAAAACTGAAAATTGGGGGCATCCCATATGGGTGCCAGTTAGAGTCCCGGCTGCTCTGCTTCTGATACAGCTCCCTGCTAATGTGCCTGGGAAGACAGCGGATGATGGCTCTGAGAAGACTCAGAGGAAGCTCCTGGCTCTGGTCTGGTCCAGCCCTAGCCATTGTGGCCATTTGGGGAGTGAAGATCTGTTTCTCTCTCACTCTATCCTCCTCTCTGTAACTCCTTCAAATAAATAAATAAAAGTCTTAAATTACTAAAAAAAAAAAAAGCTGAATATTATTACATTTCTTTTTTTTTTAAAGATTTATATATTTATTTGAAAGTCAGAACTACACAGAGAGAGGAGAGGCAGAGAGAGAGAGCGAGCGAGAGGTCACCCATCCACTGATTCACTACCCAATTGGCTGCAACGGCTGGAGCTGCGCCAATTTGAAGCCAGGAGCCAGGAGCTTCTTCCGGGTCTCCCACGTGGGTACAGGGGCCCAAGGACTTGGGCCATCTTCCAATGCTTTCCCAGGCCACAGCAGAGAGCTGGATTGGAAGAAGGGACTAGAACTGGCATCCATATGGGATGCTGGCACTTCAGGCTAGGGTGTTAACCCGCTGTGCCACAGCGCAGCCCCACATTTCTTTTTGGAGTAGAGAGTGCTTCTTATGTAAATTTTGGAAAACAATGGAAAATATTTGAAGCATTAAAAATAAAATAATCTACTCATATAAAAAATGACTGACATAATACATATACAGGTAAATATTTATGCCTTCATTGTTATGTATAAACTTAAAATTTATTTTAATTTTAAATTTAAAAGGTCTTTCTATGGAGCAGGCATTTAGCCTAGTAACTAAGGTGTCTGTCGCATATCTGAATACCTGGGTTCAATGCCTGACTCAAGCTTCTAACTCCAGTTTCTTGCCAGCCCAGACACTGGGAGGGAGCAATGATGGCTCAAGAAATTGGGTTCTTGCTATTCATGTAGGAGATCTGGATTGAGTTCTCATCTCCCTGCTTTGGCTTGGCACAGCCCAGCTAATGCAGGCATTTGAGGAATAACCAATAAATGGGAGCTCTCCTTCTATCCCTGTCTCTGCCTCTCTGTCTTTCAAATAAATACATTTTTAAAAAAGTTTTTCTATACTGGCAATGTAAAATTTTTATGCTTAATTATATGTTGATATTTTGTTTTTATTATTTTAACAGCCATATGAAATGTCACCATTACATCACTTAATTTGTTGAATTAATCTCCAATTTGGGTATATTCAGTTGTTTTTGGTTTTCATCATTATACACATTATCAAACAAATAGTCTCAAAGCGAAATTGTCATACAGTTTTAAGATTACTTCCTTTGTTTAAATTCCTTGATTTTGAATTCCTGGTTCAACAAATAAGCTAAGATTTCTACTGCAATTTGTCAATTTTCCTGTGATTGAACTTAACTAATTTATATACCAAGCAGCATATATTAGAGAACCCATTTTGATTATCTTGGGTTTTTTGTTTTCACTTTCACTAATTTTGGACATTATATCTTTAAAAATGGCAAGTCATTTTCTTCATTTCATTTTTTTATTTTTTTTACTCAGGCAGCTCACAAAGAAAGAACTAGAAATGGCCATGATATTGTTGTTCTATTTTATTCTCATTAATTTTTAAGAGCTCATTATATTAAAAATATTAACATTTTGACTTTCTAATGCAAATTTTCTCCCCAATTTATGCCTTTTTGCTTTATGATGAGGCAATATTTTAATCTGTCGCTTCTCTACTTGCTGCTATTTAGAAAGAACTTTTCAATTCATAATTTTATATATATGTATGTGCACACAAATATGTTGTTTTTATATTTTTCCAGCACTTTCATGATTAATTTTTTTATGTAGCTAATTCATCTAGTTTACTTTTATGTAAGATATCTCTTGAATAATCTACCATTTTTTTTAAAATTGTTATCTACTTGCCCTAACACATTTCTCAGGTTCTTCTCTTCCTTGGTATTTTATGCATCTGTGGATCTATGTCTGGCCTTTTAACTCTGTCCTATAAATTGTCCACATCTAATATACCCAGACCATATGTTTTTAGTTTTTTTCACTGTTAAATGCCATCCTATGGTGAACCCTTATTTACTTAAGCAGTCTGTTTAAGTAGTCTTCCTGCTAATGTTGTTTCTAACTATTACTGATTTAGAGATGTGTGGATAATGTCTTTATCCAAGAAATGACTTTCTACATGTTTCTTAGACTGCATTTCTTCCTGTCCACTTAGGATGGAGTTCCTGAAGTAAAATTACAGAGTCAGTATGATAGGCATTTCCTTTCCTTTTTTTTAAGATTATTTATTTGAAAGAGTGACAGAGATAGGCCAGGCTGAAGCCAGCAGCCAGGAACTCTATCTGGGTCTCTCATGTGGGTGGCAGGAACTAAAGTACTTGGGCCATCAACCACTGCTTTCCAGCACATTTGCAGGGAACTGGATGGAAGAACAGAGTAGCCAGGACTTGAAGCAGGCACTGAAATGACACGTGGGTATCCAAGCATTGGCTTAACTTAGGTGTACCACAGCACCCACCAAAATACAGACATCTGTTTCTAAGGCTCATAGTGTATTTTGCCAAATTATTCTTCATAAATCAACAGAGTCTTGCAAGCTGTCTTGGGGAGACCCTCTCTTTTTGCATTGTTTGTCAGTCTTAATGATTGTAATTAAAACACACACATATATAACCTTGCTAATTTGCCAGATAAAAGATGGTATCTCATTAATTACATTTCTTTTGAGTAAAGTTATATTGCATAGATCTGGTCTCTTGACTTTTAAGTCAGCAGTGCTCAATTATACTGTAATAACAGTAGATGTGTTGCATTCATCAGAATAAGATCTTAACTCAAGCTGTTGTCATCTCTGAACCTGGAAAAACCCTTCTTTACCTTGGATTTAAGTCATGTAATTCTTTAGTAACACAGTTGTTTTTTAAAACACCAAAAAACCATATACTTCATTCAAATGTATAACAGCTGTCAAATCTCTTTATATAGTTCCAAGAGTGGATTGTAATGATTTAACCTCTCAACCAAACTGCCTGTGAGATACCACTCAGCTTCTGTCTTAATTCAGAACTCAGATAACCACAGAATTCAGCATAAGCAGAAAAGCAGAGAAAATATCATCCACATATACAAATAAACAGAGCCAATGTGCTTTATAAAAACAAATTTTTAAGTATCACATATGAAAAATGCCCACTTGGAGTAGATTTTAGGTGATTTAAGTGTCTGGTCAAAGGTTGATTTCCCAAAGTATGAAGATAATGCAGAGTTACCCTTAGGCAACATGGGCTTCGGGATCCTTGACTGTTCTGTACTGAGACTCTGGATCTCCGGGTCCTTCTATGTTTCTTGCAGTGTTCTAGGCCGTGGGGATGAGATTACTGAGTTGTTGGAGATTATGAGCTCGAGCTGTAGGTAGTGCTTAAAATTGAAAACAGGACATCTCATCCTTCTCTCCAGTGACAGGGTCAAGTTTGTACATTTCATTGTGCAGCATACTGGGGGGTTCTGTATATTTTTCTCCTCTGATTAAAATTTCCTAATTCGGTATCTTGGAATAGGGAGTTGCTTACTCAGTGCCAGACTTTTTGGGGTTCAGTTTTGTGTTTGTGCAAATTGAGAAGTAACAATAGGACAATGATAAAATGCTGCGAAGAATGTTCTTTCATGACTGCCATTATTTGTCAGAATATTGCACAATAACCTGTCATAAAGGTTTGAACTATAGAAGCTCAGGTGAGCAAAGGAAAAGGCCATGAATTGAAATGATGTAAGAGAACAACTCAGGGTAACTTGGAAAGCACATATTTAGTGTATTTTCATAAGGTGCTGTCCATTTTCCTCTTCACTCTCTAGCCATGGATACTCAACCTGTTTTGTTGATACTCTTATACAAGATATTTAAAATCATTAAGATAATGAAAGTCAATGGGACAATGGAAATAGATGATTGGTTTGTTTTACAGGGAAGTAGCATATGGTGGCACTCTGTAAGTGAGGCAACATTGCTTTGGTCAAGAGACTGAGCCAGGGCCACATAGAAGGACAGTTACCTGTCACCAGTATTACATTGTTTTGTAAAACAGATGGCACATAAGAAAGGATACTAAGGAGCCTGTCATTCTTCCCCTTAAATTCACATTAATAAGAGATTCTGTCCTTATTGAGCATGTTATTTGGGACCTTAACACACGCACACAAATCTTCTATGTTGTGTGTGTTTATTTTCTGTATAGTCAAAGAAGGGTCAACTTCTAAATGTGAAGTCTTCTATTACAACAAACAATATGCTCTGGGTGCCAGAGAAAGATTCTGGGAGCTCTCTAGTGTAGCAAGAGGGAGACTGAACATCAGGAGAGGGGAAAAATGATCTTTCTGTTTCCATATTCTTGAGAAGGCAATTGATAACACACCTTTTAGAAATGTGCTTGACAGTAAGTATGAATGTCTTAAAAGTATTAACACTCTTTGACAAAATGCTAAAGAATCAATCCTAAATGTGAGGAAATTATTCATAAATATATTCATTGCTTTGTATGAGACAAAAAAGGTGCTTTGATGGGTCATTTAGGATAAGTAGACCAGGAATGCTATGAATAATATGGGAAATACCTAAAATCGATAACATCTACAATATTATAGCTGTGTAGAAATTTTTTAAACTATGCATAATAAAAGAAACACAGGAATGAGATTTTGTTTTATAAAAAAGCAAAAATCAAGTCTTAAGTATAAAAATGTAGGTAGTTCTTCAACTCTGAGAGCTTGTCGTAATGAATACAGCAGTCTATTATTATGAATGGGGAAAAGGGGCCCTGAAGGTAGAAGTTTGCCTGACTGAGGTTGGACTCAACATTGCCTATTACGCTCCTGTCTGAGCTGCTGCCTTCTGTATGGAAGAAGAGCACCATTTATGCTTAGCATATCCTTACATTCTAAAAGATAACAGCATGATTTTCCTGGACCAAAAAGCCTATGGCAATGAGGAACCCAGGGAACCAAAGTGCGTGACGACCTGCTTTGTGACAGCTCTGAGTGTCACGTCATTTGTTTGTAGGTTGGATTTACAGTACTGTCGTTTGTTAATCTATTCTGTGTCTTGATATCCAAACTTATTTAAATGACCACATGCCCAGAGGTACATAAATTTGGAAAGAAAAAAAACAAGGAAGATCTGAATGAACAACTATAAATGGAAATAAATAGATTGTGGGTTTGGATAGTACAAATAATAAAAAAACTGAAATAATTGATGTACAAAGTGAAATTGCTAACCATGTCAAAACCCTTTACAACCATGACAATTTTCCCATAAGTAATGCCTAGAAAACAACATTTTAACACATCCTTCTTGTATCACAAAGATTTTAACAAGGTTTCTAAAATTTCCACTAAATCAGAAGGCTCTATGCAGCCATAAAAGTTAGTATTTTCAATCAGAATAAAAGATAAAATGAAAAAAATCATTGAATTAAGATATTTGTATTCTTCTAAGTTTCTTCACTGCTTTCTTCAATCTTTGTCATTAGGAAAATAAATACAAGGTTTGCACAGAAAATATAGCTCATATTTGTTACTTATCTAGTCACCAGATGAGATGAAATGAAGGTTTAATAACCTGACCAAATAATAAAACTCCCGTTAAAATAGTCTGTATTTAAAATCACTGCATTAAATAAGACTCTGGAAAATGGTGATTTAGGTCTTAAATCTCTTAAGACTTATTTCAGGATTTTTCTCCCTTTTTTAAGTACAAAATATTGCTGAGAATATGAAATTCTGTATCAAGTTAATTAATTGACACATCATACCTTAATGAGTGGATAGTGTAATTACAAGAGTTAGAAAGTCACAGAGAGAAAACTGTAAAGTAGACTAATCACGATCAACTGACAAATGATTGCAGATGGGAGAATGCCTGAGTCTAAATGTAGAATTTAATGACCTGCGAGGTCCCAAACTCCAAAAAACTAGTGAACTAGTTTGACTATTGCTAGTCTTTGAATGCTGTGATTCTTGTCCTTTTACATACAATGTTTTGAACAATTGTTAACTCACTGCTTTTTGAGGTGAAATATAGAAAAACTTCAATTAAGTTCAGTAGTCAAAATCCTGCAACTGACTTAGAAAGGAAAATGAAATATGACTCCCAAATGAATCTACCTCCTAAATTAATTAAAGGGACAAACCAAAGCCTCAACAGTCCTGAGATGTGCCATCCCTTTCCTACCCTTCCAGTTCATTCTCCACGTGGTCCACATTGACAGCTCTATGATTCCCTGATCGGCATCTGGAGCTGCTGTTAGATACTCAGCCAACAAGGAGAGAGTAACTGTTCTGCGTACTCTATCTTGAAACGAACCGTAGAAAGACAAGATAGAATTGACGGTGGAATGGAAGTTAAACAGCAAATCTGAATAGGCATCATTCATCTTTCCCCTCTTTTACATTACTCTGTCACTTCTCCTCTGACAGATATTTTTATCAGTGGAGAATTAGCAGCAGGGGACCGGGCAGGTAGGCATTGCTGTATACCATCAGCACTCGTCCCTCAAACTTGGTTAAGCCTGGTCCTCATCAGAATCTCATCCTCATGGTGTGTTACGCTTTTGTATTCTAGATTATTCAGGACAGAATATTCAAGCACATATCACGTAACAGTTTAATATGGAACAAACATCCTGGAGGATTGTTCGTGCTACCACAGTATTCATCTTATCTGGGAGATTTTCCTTACTACTATGCTAATTTAGGTAAGTGAAGTCCTTTAGGGAGCTGCCTTTCCTTACTCTCAAGACGTCATCCAGAACTAAAGCCTTGATGAACAGGCTGCATTGGAGCTTGCTTTCTGAGCCTTTGTAAATAGCATATCAAGGTCAAGAATTATAAATCCAGCACAGCATTGCAAAATGGGAGGGGGGGGGGGACTCATTTCTCATTTGAGCAGCTACCCTTTATTAAATATATTGAGTTATTTCTTTTTGAGAAATTGGATCCCCAAATTGTGGATCATTTTGAACATGACAATGGGTGAGCTATAATTTCAAGTTTGATAGAAAATAAAATAGTTACAAGAGTTCTCCCTAATTATTTTTCACAATTCTATACTTCTATCTTATGCCAAAGAAAAACTGAATAAGGAGAAATAAGCAATAGGCTCAATAGGCTAATCCTCTGCCTGCGGCGCCGGCACACCGGGTTCTAGTCCCGGTCGGGGCGCCGGGATTCTGTCCCGGTTGACCCTCTTCCAGGCCAGCTCTCTGCTGTGGCCAGGGAGTGCAGTGGAGGATGGCCCAAGTGCTTGGGCCCTGCACCCCGTGGGAGACCAGGAGAAGCGCCTGGTTCCTGGCTTTGGATCAGCGCGATGCGCTGGCCGCAGCATGCCAGCCATGGCGGCCAGTGGAGGGTGAACCAATGGCAAAAGGAAGACCTTTCTCTCTTTCTCTCTCTCTCTCTCACTGTCCACTCTGCCTGTCAAAAAAAAAAAAAAAAAAAAAAAAAAAAAAAAAAAAATGAATATATTGAAAAGCAAATGTATTCATTCTTTTAACATTTATTATATGCTTCTTTTTTTTAAAAAAAAAGTTTTACTTATTTCTTTTGAAAGGCAGAGTTACAGAGAGAGAAAGACAGACAGACAGACATCTTCCATCGACTGGTTCATTCCCCAAATGGCTGCAATGGCCACAGCTGGACCAGGCCAAAACCAGGAGCCTGGAGTGTCATCCAGGTCTCCCATGAGAATGCACTTGAGCCACCTTCCACTATCTCAGGTGCATCAACAGGAGGCTTAATTGGAAGTAGAGCAACCAGGACTAGAACTGCATCTATATGGGCAGAAGCTTCACACAGTGTGTCAGAACACCAACCCCTATTATACTCCTGTTGTGTGCTATGATAGAGCTAGAGATAAAAAATCAAGTAAGGTTCAACCTCCGCTCTCAAGGAGCCTTAATCCAAGCGCAGTGGAGAGAAGAGAATGGGCAGAGATAAAGCTCTACAAAAGGCTCCTGTTACTCCCATGGACAAATGTGTTTGAAGCCCTAGTTGGTCTCCTGTTAGTGACATCTGGGACAACCCTCCTCAGTCACAGTTCCAAACATAAGACCCTGGGATAATAAAGCATCTTTCAGGATATGTAGCAAAATTGCTTATGGTTTTCCACCCAAACCTGTCCCACCCTTGTTTAAGTTACACATGTTTAGCTTGAAACCCTTAAGATAAGTAATTAATGACCTAAAAAGTCAGCCAATGACAAAGAGCCCTTTATTTCAAACCAAACATGTTATGGAGACTACATCAAATTAAGTGAATCATCACATTGGGTAATATATTTAGAATTCTGAGATTAAGGCAATAGTTGATAAGAATTTCTAAATATTTCTTGTAGAGCCTTGAGATCTTCATTAGGAGTTAGTATATTGAAAGTGTTTAAATGATAGCCCCTAAACTGTTATAGGAAAATCTACATATGACTTGTCACTGTGTTGCAAAGGTGGTTCCTCTGTTGTGTTTCTTCTCAGTTGACAAAACGTGGACTGTGTGTCTAGATAGTGGAAAAATCAGCTTTCAAATGTACAATTAAAGTGCTACTTGAGTGATTTTTTTTTTTTTTTTACAAAACACTTGCATACTCCTTTAACATGTGTAGTCTGGTTTTAACCTTTAGTCCATCAATAGCAAAGCTTAACGTGAATGTCCTTGCATGTTCTGATTCTCATTTCAACTGCTAAAGTGCCAACTTAGTGGATCTAAGCTAATCAGGTTTTAAAAGGCTCTTCACCTGTTTCTCACTTCATAGCAAGTTCTTCTGGAAAAGCTCACTGGGGAAAAGCCATCTCTCCTCTCTCCCTTGGGCGGCCGTGGTGGTTAAGCACATTTACGATCCTTCTGTGCCTTCACAGCTGGCAGATGTCTGCATCATGTAGTCTTTCTCTCAGCTGTGTCGCTACTGCACAAGGAAGAAACTCTTGGATTATGGAGGCTTCCTCCCCAAAAATGATGATGATGATGATGATGGTGGTGGTGGTGACAGTAGCAGCTAACACATATTGAGTACTTATTATTTGCTAAGTCCTACCCTAAGTGCTTTGTATCTATCAGCTAGTTTAATTCTAACAATAACCTTGTAAGTTTAATAGTTACTGTCAGCCCCATTTCACAGCTGTGCAAGCACAGAGTTAAGTCATCTTTCCATTAAGTAGTACAACTGGTATTCAAACCTAGTATTCTTTTAACCTGTCTTGCTAGTTATTGCATGAAATACTATTAAATTGGCAAAAAGGCTTAATTACATGATTAAGAATAAAACACAGGCAAGAGAGAGACAGCACATGTACATAATCCATCTTAAGATATAAGAGATTAGAACAAAACCTTTCTTGGGCGTGGTGAGCAGGCAGGGGTTGGATTCAGACTTTGGGTGCCTAAGAACCTAAAGGGAGATCAAGGAAACATCACCAGAGGAAGCTGATGGCACAGGAAGGGCAGACATTGATCTCTAATTCACTGAGCCCTGTAGATGCAGGCAGTAGTGCAGTAGCAGCTTTCTACCTGGTTTTCGTTCTGCCAGGGCGTGAGAAGGGAGAATGTGCTAGAAGGTACATTGGCTCCAGGGTGAGCAATGGAGCAAGAAGAAGCAATTTTCTAAGGCTGGTTTCTCAGTGCTTCATTAGGCTGCTCTCTCCTGTTCCTTTCAGGTATAAAGCCCCCGTCCAGATTCACTGCAGTCATCCATGCGGTGACCCCCCTGGTCTCTCAGTCCCAGCCAGTGTTGAAGCTCCTCGTGGCTGCAGCGAAGTCCCAGTACTGTGCTCAGGTGAGTGCCGTGCCCACCTCCACAGACCTCGCTCCCCACCTGTTACTCCCTCGGCTCCCCAGTCCTACCCTGCTACACCCCTTTCATTTGTCAAGCTTCGTTATGTCCTTCGCATCAATGTATTGGTTCTTGGGAATGCAATGTGCCACAAGTAAGGGATGTTACAGACAGACCTTTGCACTAATACAAGGTTAAGATACACAGACGGTAAGGTTCTTCAAAAGTTTGTGGACAGTTGAATTAAAAGATAAGTTTATTTTGGTGCAAAAAAAAATGAGAAAGCCCTGAATACAATCGGTCTTCAAAATTGATGAAAAATATATATTATGGAAAGCTATGTGTACATTTAAAAAATTTTAACGCCACAATCATCTAATTCTGTCTTCCACAAACTTTTTTTTCAAAAATGAACTTTTTTTTTTTATTTCACGCCTCTTTATCTTTAGTTACTTATTTTCATTTTATTTGAAAGACAGAGGGACAGATAGAAATCTTCCATCCACTGGTTCACTCCCCAAATGCCTGCAACAGCTGGGGCTGAGCCAGGCTAAAGCTGGGAGCCTGGAATTCAATCCGAGTTCCCCATGTGGGTGATAAGGATCCAGGTTCTTTAGCCATCACTTGCTGCTTATCAGGGTGCTCATTGCCAGGAAGCTGGATTGGAAGCCAAAGAGCCACAGCTCAGACCAGGTTCTCCAATATGGAATACAGGTATCCAAAGCAGCAATTTGACTGCTACTCCAGATGCACCCCCATTCCATGAACTTTTTGAAGTTCGCTGTAGTATGTATGCAGATACTTATGCACACCTGCTCACACGCATAAGCCAACACATTCTTCAAAGAATATGTAAGCATATTATTTTGCTTTTAAATGTGTAAATAGTAGGGTAACATCAGAGAAGTTACTGAAAGGACCCAGAAGACTTAAGTTCCAATCAAAGAGGCAAAATCATTGGTGTCCAGAGACATCAACTTTTCTTTCACAGCAACTGTGACTATTTATAAAATTGGGAGCAGAAGATTCTTTGAAAACAATATTTTCCAAATCAGTACCACTCCCGTACTCTAATGGTGATTTGCTGATTTGTGAATTGGTTTATATAAGATTTACAAGTAAGAAAAGAATTAAATCATGTTGAAGGACGCATTTTTGAACTAAATGCCTTTATTGGAAATTATAAAGTGACATAAAATCAGCAGGCATTCTGGAAAATCCAAAACAAGAGCTCTGCCTAGCTCTAGCTTGAATTCTTTTATTTCTCTCACATCGCCTGGTCTAGTGTGCACTCACAGCAAATGTTCAGATATTCCGTATACATTTTTTATTTAACTTGATCAGAATGTAGAGAACCACTTTATTAAGCTCCAGCACCCAGAAATTGCTTCTTTTCCTGCTTACCCTCCCCCCCCCCCCCCGTCCTGGTATACAAGTGTTTTAGGTTAATCTTTGTCCGTGTTGAAGTGACAAGGTTCTGCAGGTTGTGTAGGAGTGGACTCACTTTAAAATTCAATCTTCAAGTGTCCCTTGTTGCATTCTCCACCTTCACTGCCTGTGGGAAAAGTTGGATTGGAAGCCTACATAAAGGCAGCCTAACCCAGCTGTCTAATGATCCCCCTTCCTTTCAGATCATAGTTCTTTGGAATTGTGACAAGCCCCTACCGGCCAAACACCGCTGGCCTGCCACTGCTGTGCCTGTCATTGTCATTGAAGGAGAAAGCAAGGTAGGACTCGAAGGGGACCTAACTGGTGCACCACCATGGAATCTTCCCTTCTCCATGGGGCATCAGGTGTCTTCCTCCTGTTTGGGAGAGCTGCTTGCCCTGGATTATTTTCCCTACAATTGTACTCATCTGAGGATGTCCTTCGTTTCGATAGCCCAGGCTTTCCAACCCATCAAAGCACAGTCTTAATACTAACCTGTACCTGTTTTACAACCTTGTAAACATGATTAAGCTCTTGGAACCTCAGTTTCCTCCTTCACAAAGCGGAAATAATAATACATCCCACAAAGGATTGCTATTGGGACTAAGTGAATTCAGTGCCCACAATAGTGAACTTCCTGTAAGTGATGAGGGTGAAGATAAGGCTGATGGTGGTGGTGAGGCATGATGTCTGCTTTGCTGAATTATCTCCGGGAGCTGCGTCTTTCAGAATAGTAGTTCTTCCCCACATTTGCTTTGGAAAAGGCATCTTTAACTTTATTTTCTTTGCTGTCTCCATCCTAGCTGCTTTTCTGTTCTCTAGGTCACTCTGCCTAGAGGGAAAGGATCTTCCTTTTTGGCCCTTCACGGACTCCACTTACTGCTGTCATGCATTGACATGTGAGGATTGTGTCTTCTTGTCCTAGCCAGCCTCTCCAGACTTTCCTCTCATTGCTTTTCCCCTCAGATTCTATCGCCTACCAAATTTGATCATTTACAATTATTGTTGTCATTTGCAGTATTTCTTGACACTCCTCAACTCTGCTTGTCGGTATTTCCTTAAATCCTCTAAGCCCCTGTTCAATCAGTTGCTGCTAAGTGAAATTGAGACCGGTGACGCAGTGCCATCTGAGAGACTGTCCCTCTTAGTTTCCAAGGGGTCAGGGCGTGGGAGAGTGGCTCAGACCAAGTGAAATAACTTTGAACTGGAATGACAAAAATCTTAGTTGATTAGGCTGAAGCATTTAAAATTATCACTTGACTCATCAAAAGTGGCCCTTGATTCAGTATAAAGCAATGAGTCTGGGACTATCACATAACAAGATGGTCCAAGCATTAACTCTTCAGGTCCTGTATTCCGTGATATTGTGTGCTGGACATTGTGTCATAGGCTTGGAATGCCCGGAGTGGTATGACAGGTGTCATCCCAGCACTCATGGGCTGTAGTCAAGCAGTGTGGTTATCAGAAAGCTGCTTCATAGGCATTTAATGAGAGGAGGTGGGTGTGAGAACAATCACGTGCCTCCTGGCATCTGTATTCCTTACCCTTGTGAGTCTATGTCACCATGTGTGTGGCTGCATGAAAGGACCTTGCCTACAAAAATCTCCTGCTTACAACCACTTACATGTATGTCCCCAGCAGAGCAGCTTGTTGTAGGGAAGCCAGAGTTCTGATTCCAGTCCCTGAAGCCTTGCACAAGGCTCAAATGTGTGCTGTTAACTTTGAATGTTGGGATTCTTTTTTATTCGTTCACAGACCAGGTCTCCTAGTAGGTAATTCTTTTGTTTGGATATGTCAGGACATTCACCCAGGATCCAGTATTATTGACTGACTGGGAGCCATTCTGGCTCTTTATGTAGTATTACATTTTTATGCTCTGCACTCATTGATTTTATATGTCCACTGTCAGAGAGAAGAAATTCTGTTTCTTTATTTGTAAAATAGTGATGAGGATGAGGATGGTGATTGTAGTGCCTTTCTCGTGAGCTCTATCAGATGTCTCTTATTAGATGCATCAGATTCTCCCAGCCACATCTGTATGTGGGCTTCTGGCAATTTGTCCAGTCCCAGCTACTGCCTTGGCCCCTAATTCCAGTTGATGAGATGGTTCCTAAGCCTTTTTCCTCCCTATCAGTGCCCTGGTTGGCATCAAAGTGTTACTTCAGGCTCCGTATTCTAGGAAACATTGGCCCATTTTGAGAATTAAATGTGAGGCACTTAGCCAGCCCTGTGCCCATTATACATACATTGTCTGTTCTAATAAATGGCAGCTACTCTCTGGCAGACATCATCAAGTCATGACTTGTGTTATGGGGTCTAGTTCACTTTCATGTGAATTAAGATGTGTTACTTAATCTCTGTGCCTCCATCCCTCCTTCAGTAAATGGAAACAATCCTAATACCTAACTATAATAAGGTAGCTACAAGGACTCAGTAATGTGATACTCTCCTTATAAATGTACTGAGAAGTGTGGGCACATCAGAGGTGCTCAACAAATATCATGGATTCTTGTGCTTTGTGTGATCATTTATGTATATTTCTTGTCTTCCTCAGTAGAGTAGACTTCTTGAGTATTGACCATTTTCTCATCCTGTTAATTTCAAAAAAGTTGAGCTCCCTATTTATAGCTAAATGTTTCTTAAATGAATTAACAGGGAATATCCAGTTCACTCAGGATTGACTTTGTAAGCCTATCAGTTCTTCTTATGCTAAGTCATCCAGGAAGTTGGCTGAGGCAAGTTTTACAGCTTCTTCATGGGCATTTGGAATTGGCTGGCAGAGGTGCACTTAACCTCTGTTGATAATGCAAGTTCAGGAGAAAGGAAACAGACCTTGTCCAACTAGTGGTTGGACAGATGTTAGGGACTAAGACCTGTGTCTTTATCAATCTCTGTTTTAAAATCTCCACATCTAGCCTTGCACTTAAAATTGATGTGTTTGCTGCATTGTCTGCAAAATTCTGTTTTGAATTTATGGGCCTTGTCTTTGCAGCTTTCCCCTGTAGGCTTAACAAGGGAAAGGTCAGGGCATTGCTAAGCTGCCAGCTAATGGTTTCTGTGTTAGTCAGTGGACATGTAAACAAGAACAGAAGAATTGCTTCAGGCATAGATTTCTGAGCCTTGTGTACGTGGAGTTGCTGTGATGGCTTTGTATTTTATTTTGAAAGCCTGAGAAAGATTAAAAACAAAAACAAAACTGTGGCCCAGTTGGCAGCTGCATAGGCACAGTCCCTGAAACCATTTGTGTGGTAGAGACATCCTTGGAGCTCCTGAAGATGATTTAGGATGGGCACTTTCCATTCCTTCGCATCCCAGGCCCTCCAGTGGTGCCACAGGCATGCAACCCAAACGTGAGTTGAACCCTGTGGAGGAGCAAGCTTCTTGCTACAAATGGAGCTGGGAGCTCAGATTGGTAGAGAAGGTACCTGTGATGTTGCCTTTTCGCCTTTCCCTTTGTCCCTAGTGTCCATCCACTTCACCTCCTAGCCTTTCCGCCTTCAAGATAGACGGCAGGTATGTCCTTTCTCACCAAGTGTGAATTCAGAGAGGGTGTCATAACTGTTGATAGGACTTCCAGAGGAAGGTGGTGATGTACAATTGCTGTATCTGTCCATATGTCCATTTTTGAGGTCCTTTCCAAACCTGAGACAGGTATAGATAGCACCAAGATGTTGGTATAGGCCAAGATGTTCTATATGATGGCACCATTGTGATGTAATCCTGGTCCATTTTGGACAAAATGCTTATGCTTTCTGTGTGTCAGCTTCCTCCTCTATAACATGGGGTTATGGAGCAAGATGATGCATATCAAGGACTTGGAATATGTCCTGGCCCATAGTACATGTTCTAAACATGTTGGTAGTAGAGATCAGCATTATGGTTAGTTATTCTATGGTACATTCACCACAAAGGTTTACGCTGAGACGGTCACAAGGTAGTCATTCACATGTCACTTTTTCCAGCCAATATTTCTGTCTCACACAGCACCAAACACACACACATATACTCACACTCAGGCCCACCACACCCTACCCTGGAATTAGCCCAAACTTTATTCATATAGCACCTTCATAATAACTTCCTAAATTTGTGGATCATATATGTTACATATTTAAGATTTTTTTCTTTAAATCAGCTTATTTTACTATCAATGAAATTACATCTGAGTACTTATTTACTCCCCCGATTGCTACAGCTAAAAATCTAATTGTGTATGTAATTTTTTTTCCTCATCTGTGCTTAGAAAATCCACAATGACAGGGAATCTATCTTACTAGGCTGTGTACTCTGACCAGCCTGATACACCCACTGTAGTTGCTCAATAATTGAACAAATGAATATGTGCTGATGGGAGACGGACATCTTAACATTGAGGGCTGAGATAGGAGTAGAATATTCTTTTTAAAAAAGGCTTATTTATTTATTTGAAAAAGTTACTGAGAAACTGAGAAAGAGGTATACACACACAGAGATCTTCCATCCACTGGTTCACTCCCCAGGTGGCTACAACTGCCAGCTGAAGCCAGAAACCTAGAGCTTCTTCTGGGTCTCCCAGGTGGCCGGTAGGGACCCAAGCACTTGGGCCATCTTCTGATGCTTTTCCCATGCCCTGAGCAAGGAGCAGGCTCAGAAGTGGAGCAGCCAGGATGTGAGCTGACACCTACATGGGATGCTGGTGTCAGGTGCAGTTTTATCCGCTATGCCACAGTACCATCTCGGGAGTAGAATATTCTTTATGAAAGTGAGGATGCTGGAATTCTCCTGAAAACAAGACACTAAGGTTACCTCTTTCATCCCCTCCTTCCCTCCCTCCTGCCGCCTTTCCTCCTTGTCCCCAGGTGATGAGCAGCCGGTTTCTGCCCTATGACAACATCATCACAGATGCGGTGCTTAGCCTGGATGAGGACACTGTGCTTTCAACAACAGAGGTAAGAACGCCCACAGCGGGGTCCCCAGGTGCCAGTCTCCCTCTTGCCCCTGCCCTGGTAGAAGTCAGAAGTACTTTTCAAAGCTTCCCGCAGAATTGATTTTCATCAGCTGAGTTCCTGTTAGCACCTTGCTGCCACCTGGCACCCTGATGCGGGCATTGTCCGCTTTGTTTTCTCTGCTAATTGGCTCCTCATTTGCATGACTGTGCCTCACCTCTTCCTTCTTCCCTGCCCTCCTATTTTGTTTTTAAACAGCACAGCTGCAGGCTGGTGTGCAGAACCCAGGGGGAGAAGAACAGGACCCTGGATAACAGTCTTTTGAAACTCTGTAGTCCACAGCAAACAACTCCATCCTTCCCCAGTGACCCTAATACTGTGTGGCATGTGTGTTGCCTCTGCTTGGATACGCTATTCTGGGTTCTAAAGGCAGCTTTTTTCTCTTGATCTAAAGTGCTCCTATTTTTTTTCATCCACACCAAGAGCAAATGTGTGCTCTTTAGAATGTGAAGAGAGTTGTGCCAAAAATAAGATTGTCCAAAGAATGTGTGAGGAGGAGAGAGATGAGCAAGGGAAGGTGGATAGGGTAGAAAACCAATTTTTACAACTTGAATGAGTATTGATCTCTGAAATCTTACTTTAAACTGTAGATGAGATCAAAGATGGCCATATAAAAATGCAGTATATCAGAGATACATTATTAATGGTAGCAGCTAAAAAGCACAGAGACTTAACTACTTATGCATTTCCCTCAGCCTTCTTTTTCCCTTTTTATTCGTAATTATTTTCATTTCCTGTCAAACATGGGCAGTACTAGCACATGCTCTCTGGCATATCACGCGGATTCTAGTGACTGCTGCCTACATACCGGGCCTTGGTGCTGACCCAGGCTGGCGAACTCCCTGTTACTTTCTTAAAATTCCACGGATGCTTCCAGTTTCCGTCAGATGGAGTCTGATGTACAAAGGCAACCTAAATAATGACAGAACATAATGCCCTGGGCCACCCCTTGTTAAATGCTTTCTCTGTAACCAATGCTCTATAAATACTTGTTGAATGAAAGGTTGGGGGGATGTGTGTGCAGGGATTAAAGGGGAACACACAGTTGATTGTGTCCTGTGTCCTGTGGCCAGAGAAAGGGCTTGTTGGGGAAAAGATAGGCCTACCTTTCAAAGGAGAAGGTAGCTGTGGAATGCTGGCCCTGGGACACTCTAGCTTGCATTTTTCTGCTACTTCCTGCATGGGAAGATGGCATCCCAGGAACACATTGACTCAGCAGGTATTTATTGAGAGATGTCTTTGTTCTGGTCTCCATGCCAGGTTCTTTGGTTACACACTTCCTGCCTGTATCCGTTAGAGTCCTGGCAGCAAGCAGAATTCACAAGAGATTATTCAAGTTAAGGGACTTGGCATTACTTACAGAGGTGTGGAGGTGAAGTGAAAGGAACCCACAATAAATGGTGAAGCACCTGTAGAGGGTTAAGAGCAGGATGTGGCTCCTAACCCCTAGCCCTGAAGGAGTGAGAGAAGGAAATGGCACCTGTGTAGTCCCCGAGAGATGGAACTAGAAGGGAACAGCTATAATGAAGAAGAGCTATACTGATGGAAGTTTATGGCTGCCACCAGGACTGTGGTGCCAGAGTAGGAAGGGAGTGGAGAAAAGACCTGACCTCTCTGTCTGTCTACGTCCATTGTCCTGCTGATGACTCCCACTGCCCAGATGGAGTGGATAACAGCCAGCAAGGAAGACCAAGGTGGTGTGGTGCAAAGAGGGTCATCTTCCCAGAGCACAGAGCAGGGCAAGACGAGGAGGCAGTGGATCTCAATAGACAAGCCTAGGAATAGCTGCTCCTCGCTGTGATGGAATGAATAGTCAAGACAACAACAGTATAGACCGAAATCATTATCCTATGACTTGAAGTATTGATTTATCCTGTATGGTCCCCTGGGCACGAGGCAATTAACCTCACTGTGGGGTTTGTTTTCCCCTGTCCCATGGAGCAATAACTTTCCACTGCTGTGATGCATCCCTGTGCTGCTGAGTTTCTTTTCAAAGAATAGCATTTCCAGCCACTCAGTGCATGCTGGGAGGAACATGTGTCTGTGTCGTATGTGAAGTAATTAGAAGTCAACGTGGGCTGGAAATAATATGTAAATTCAAGAGGCTCACAGGCGGGTTGCCTTGCCTGCTGATCAGTCGAGTGGTTGTGATGCCTAAAATGGTTGTGGGCAAGGATTTCTCTTTTCTCTTTTTTTAGGTGAATATATGTTGGTTTGTCTCATTTCCTCTCTAAGGATTCTTAGCTTGTTTAAATGTCTTTCTGTAGCATTCAGGGTAGATTTTTAAACAGTATCCTATAAAGCATATTAGATATAGTTGGTTTATAGTTATTTACATTTATCTGGGTTACTGCAAAGCCTGGAAAGAAAACAGATGTTGGTTTTTAAGTGAAAAGCCCTTAAGTTGACCTTTGCTTTCTTTGATGTGTTAATGATCTGCTTGAAAGTAGAACTATCATAAGAACCATAGTTTTATCCGAATTTACTTTTGAATTCCTTTGAAATGACTTGAAACAGGTCTGAGAGTTAAGAAATTCATGTGATAAAAAAAAAAAAAAAAAAAAGAAAAACGTATTGGGTTCTATAGTAGCTGCCAGTGCATATGTTTCCTTTTCAAAGAATAATGGGAAACCCTAAAGAGTGCTGACAGCCGGCATGATTCTTTGACAACAGACCACGTAATATACTGGCCCAACAGTTGGCGCCATTAGTATTGAACGCCACTGACAATGTGTAGGTAATCACAACCTAATTTCAATTTTCTGGCAAAATCTGTCCACTCCCCTGCTGTCTTTTCACTTTGAGATGTCCCACTTCCCACTGAGATTTTTTTATGTTCCACCACTCTTCTTTTTCTCCCTGGATGTTATAGTTTTGGGAAGCAAGCCATATTGTAAAGTCTTTCTTATCTTGAGAGGGGGCAGTCTTTGAGCCAGGGTTGTGCAGAGAAACAAAGCCAATAGAGATTTATGGTGAGGAAATGCTCCCACAGTTTTGGAGGCTGAAATGTCCCACAATCTGTCATCTGCAAGCTGGAGACCTAGGAAAGTTGGTGGTGTAATTCCAATCAGAGGCTAAGGGTCTGAGAAGCTGATAATATAAATCCCAGTCTGAGGGCAGCAGAAGACAGACATCCCAGCTCCAGCTGGTAGGCAGGAAGGAAAAAGGAGCGAATTCTCCCTTCTGCCTTTTGGTCTAGTGCAGACCCCCAGCAGACTGTGTGGTGCCCATCCACACTGGGAAGGGCAGTCACCTTAACTGAGTCCTAACCTCACCCAGACATCCTTACCAGCACACTCAAAAATGGTCCGAGTGAAGTTGGCACACAAGATTAACCTTTAGATTTTCATAAAAAAAATTTAATTCTGGACTGTTACCTAAATAATTAGATCTAAGTCTAAAGAATTTGAAGATAAAGAAACTTGATAAGTGACCCAGGTTATGGATGGGTGGTTTGGCCTTGTGAGTTTAAGACACCAGTTAAAATGCCCATATTCCATATTGGAATGCATAGTTCAAGTTCCAGCTCTGTTCCCCACCTCCAGCTTCCTCCTAACGCTCACCCCTGGAGGCAGCAGGTGATGGCTCAAGTGGTTGGGTATCTGCCATTCACATGAGAGACTTGGATTGAATTGTCAACTTTCAGCATAAGCAAGGCCTGACCCTGGCCATTGAAGCCATTTGTGAAGTGAACTTGTAGATAGGATGATTTACGTTCTCTGTTTCTCTCTGCAAAATGAATGAATAAATAAATCAGATGGACTCAGGCTAATATTTCCAAAAGATGGTTTGTGTATATACCATGTAGTTTCATACGGTTCATTGCAAACATTTTTCAGTTTATGATTTTACTTTAATTTCTGTTAGAACACAAGACAACCAGCAATTAAACCTAAGATTTCATTGACCTTGTTACCTAGGGTGAAGCTACTGTTTCTTTTTTATTTAGTCAGCTTAGAGAAAAATGTCATTGAATATGTGGTGTGGGAAGATGACACAAAAGGAAATGATGATATGCGTATGGAAAAATGCTTGGGGAATACTCACATTGATCTAGACTTTTTTGGTTCCATCTCTGTATTACGCTGAGGCAAAACTCCTCTAACATAAAATAAACCATTTAAAATGTGTAATTCAATAGCATTTGGTCCGTTTACAACACATTGTGTTTGTCCCAAAGCCTTTTTGTTACCCACAGGGGAAACCTTGTACTCATTAGGTTGACTCTCCCCAGCCTTTGGCATCTGTCAGTCTATTTTCTGTCTCTGTGTATTTGCCTGTTCTGAACATTTCATATATCTAGACTCATACAATATGTGGCCTTTTAATTCTGGCTTTTTGTGCTTAACATAATGTTTTTGAGGTTCATCTGAATTGATGCCAGTATCAATACATCATTCTTTGTCACAGCTACATAATGTTCCATTGTAGACTATATCACACTTTGTTTATTCATCTATTGATGAAATTTGGGTTGGTTTCACCTTTTGACTGTTGCCTAGTGCTGGAACTGGCCTTGACAACATAACCACAGTCCCCCAGTCACTATCACTGTACCCAGACTTGAATTTTTTTGTGAAATACATGGTGTGTCTATTTGTATTCCTTATCAACAGGAGACAGGGCAAAGGTCTTAGGATGAAGTTACCAGACAGGTAGCACATAGGTTGCTGCTAGAAAAGCCTTGGCAACCAATGCTACAGCCAGCCTGTTGCAGCTGCTGTACCCAGAGCTTGGGAACGAATGCATAGGATCAATATTCACATTTTGGGGTGGGCATTTGGCCTAGCTGTTAAGACTCCCCCACCCCACAGGGGAGTACCCCAGACCTAGCACCTGATTCTAGCTTCCTGCTAATGCCCACCCTGGGAGACAGCAGTAATGACTCAAGAAACTCAGTTTGTGTGCCTAAGTAGGAGATCTGGATTGAATTCTCAGCGACTTTCATCAGCACCCGAGCCATTGTGAGCATTTGGAGAATGAACCAGAGGCCGGGAAAGTGCATGGGCACACTCTCTCTCTTCTCTCCCTCTCAAACAAATAAAAATGTTAAAAATATATTTTTTGAATAAGAATTCACATTGTAATGAACAGTAATCAGAAGGAAGAAGGATTGCTAAATTAGATGTGATTTTGGTCAATGGGATAATGTCACAATGCTGGTTCCTGGTGAAGGACCTCAAGAACGAATGGATTTTCTTGACTTATGCCAGATGCTGTTTTGTCTCAAAATGGCAATTACATCAAATTTTTCAAAATTTATTTATATATATATATTTATTTATTTATTTGAAAGACAGAGTGACAGGAAGGGAGAAAAGGAAAGAGAGAGAACAAGGGATTTTTCTCTCTGCTCATTCATTCACCAAATGCCTACAGCACCCCAGGGTTGAGCAGGGCCAAAGCCAGGAGGCTGGAACTCTATTCAAGTCTCCCACATGGGCGGCAGGGACCCAAGTACTTGGGCCATCATCTGCTGCCTTCCCTGGCACATTAGCAGAAAGCTGGATTGAAAGCAGAGCAAATAGATCTTGGAACCCTATACAAGAATCCCAAGCAATGGCTTAATGCTTTGCTCTGTGATGCCCAATCCTCAATAGTTTTTTAACATGTTAATGGGTCCTATAAATCTAAGATTTTCATTTAAGGGAAATACTTAGAAGATGTATTGTATGCCCATTTCTGTGAGTTAATTATGATTATCTTAGAGAAAGAAGATAAGATTTTGTTTTCTGAAGACTAAAAAAATAAAATTTATCTCTCTCTGGTTTAAGAGAGAGAGACAAATTGTTCCCAAACACTATAAGAACATAGACAAAAGAAGGTTGTGTTATAGTGTACATCAAAATTGCCTGAGTTCCGATCTGGGTTTTGCCACTTACTAGGTCAGGCCAATTACTGAACTCCAACTCCATGTATATTAGTTTCCCTTTCTGTAAATTGAAAGACATAAAAGTAGCCGCCTCCCAGGGTTATCATAAGTATAAAATGAGCTCATATGTATAAGCAGCCGTCACCATGCCGATCATGTAAACACTACATGATTACGAGTACTATAAGATTGTTTGCTGTTACTAGCTTTGTTATTTTCCTTTTTGCCTTATTAGTTTTTGTCATCATTAGATGATCTTAGGATGTCAGGATCAGCTTAGGCATCTGAAAGCAGACTCTGAACTAATTATAAATGCTGGTTTAAGACAGGTTCAGAAGTACTTGCGTTCGGTTATTAGAAGAACTCATTGAGCTGCATTTGTCTTACAAGAATCCCATGGCTTCACTTGGCCTCATCTCTGCCACGTAGTGATTTTCATTGCTTTTTCTAGAATTCCCCAGCTCTGCATCTTCAAACCTGAGAGGCCTGAAGTATTTTTCTTTGTGATACGTGTCCTTTATTCGTGTTAAAACTTGTACTCTTTTTAGAGACTCTTTTGCTGTTAGAGGATCTTTTATTTCCATTTCTTTGGCTTTTATAGATACTGGTTATGATGTGTGCTGTGTATTCAGTCTCTGGATGTACATAGGAAAGCTGCTCCTATTTATAACACATGCATTTGTACTTCATGTGAATCAGTAGTCACGTGCAGCTGGGAGGGAGGTGGGGGAGAAGCGACTGCTTTTTTGAATTGATTTTTAGCTTGAACAGCATGGATTTCTAAAGGACATATCAGCATTTTTTTTCGTTCCTTCATTTCTGTACTAATCTGAAGTTTCTTTACCAGAAAACATTAAAATGTGCATAATTATGGGGCAAAATGTCAAGCAGTCAGTTTAATTTGCTGATGAATACATAGAATTCATGTTTTGCAACAGTCCCAGGATTTCACATTAGGAATTAGCAAGGGGAAGGTAATGTTTTGTTGACATTTGTTAACACTGTTGATTGCTTGTTTGGCTTGTGTTTTGCCTGCAGGTGGATTTTGCCTTCACCGTGTGGCAGAGTTTCCCCGAGAGGATTGTGGGGTACCCTGCACGCAGCCATTTCTGGGATAACTCTAAGGAGCGGTGGGGATACACGTCCAAGTGGACGAATGACTACTCCATGGTGTTGACCGGAGCTGCTATTTACCACAAGTGAGGAATTCCAGCATCTCTTCTGCACATCTTTGTCACTTCTGATAGTAGTAGCTGCTGGCTTGCTGCCTCAGTAGGAACTGAGGCCAAATCTTGTTAACAACATTAACAAAAATTAGTCTGCCTCTCAGCTTAAGTTTTGGAGATGTGACAAGCATGTGTTTTTGAAACCAACAACACCTCTTGGCTTATAGCCATCATAAGAAATTAAGGCAGAGTGACATTTTCGGCTAGAAGTGTGAAGACACACTCAAGGGTGTGTTAGGTAACTGAGTGTTGTGAGGAACAATAGCAAAAGTAAATACTTAATTGAGTGGCTCCAGACAGGGTTCTAGGTGCTTGGGGGTTCACCATTGAGCAAAACAGAAAAAATTCCCCACCAATACGAGATGGTGATAATGCCAGTGGTTATAAAGGATATTGAGAGAAGTGATAGAGCAAGAAAACAAAGTAAAGACTAAAGTATCAGGAGTCGTGGAAATGGGGTGGATGGAGGAGGTGAGATTGGAGCAGAGACTTAAAGGAGAGGAGGGAGGTAACCAGGAGGATATCCGCAGCGAGCGGGGGCATTCATAGTAAATGCACTGAGGCCGGATGTTGGAGGAAGACCAACATTAGTAGAGTGGAGTAGGTGAGATCAGGTCAGAGAGGTCTCGGAGCCCTGCTGCAAGACACTGCTGGCCGTCAGTTGGACTTGACTTTTTGAGCTGAACAGTGATACCATCCTCTCTGGATGCTCTGTTGGGAAGAAGCTATAAAGGGACCAAGAAGCAGGGATTCCTTTTAGGAGATGATTGACAGTATTTGAACAAGAGATGATGGAGCCTAGCGAGGCACAGAAGCTGAACCCTGGAGGTGGCAAGTTGTGATCAGATTGTGGGCATATTTTGAGGTCCTGACACATTAGATGTGTAAAATTCAACGACTCCTGAGATTTTTCACCCGTAGAACTGGAAGGATTGAATAACCATCAACAAAGGGAATGCTACAGATAAAATAAGTAGTAGGAAAAATACAGGAGTTCAGCCTTGGGCTTGTTAAGAAAACCAAATTGATATATTTTAAAATGTCAAGAAGAGAGTTGTAAATTTGGGAGTTGTTGGCATCTGTTTGATCTTTAAAGCCAAGGCGCTAGAGTAAGATTGCCAACCTAGTGGGTATAGATAGCTGACACTCCCCTCTGTGAAATCTTGTGTTACTGTCAACACACCAATCCTACCTTACAGCTATTTAGTAAGGAATAGAGAACCTTGCCATTTCAGGTATGAGTATTTAGACTGACTGAATGTTGAGCACAAGGTTTCATCTCTTAAAAGTTTATTATTCCACTTCCTCCTGCCGCCACCATGCCAAAGAATCTGATTCATTCAAATGAATTTTTCCTGTCAGTATATTCTATGTATACATAAATATAGGTAAAAAATTAGGATGAGAAATAATTCAAATTAATTATGAATTTTAATATTAATTATTGACCACCAAATTAATTCAGATTTTACCCTAACAGGGTTGGGATATATATGTTTCATAGAACACAAAAACAGAGCAGTATATTGTTGAACTCAAAGGATACAGTTATGATTAAGCCAATAATTAAAATTAATGATACAAGGATCATGTATAAGTAATGTCTTGCCATCTAAGTATTCCACTTCTCTTTCTCACTGACTGACATGATGTTAAACTAAGCAGACTATATCTGCATCCATGTGTCACTCTGCTGTGTTTTTCTACATCTATAAAATAGGAGTAATAATCACACCTACCCCACGGGTTCCTTTTGAGGATTAGATCAGGCATTTCTTATAAAACAATTTAGAACATTATCTGACATAAAGCAAGCTTCATCCCAGTGATGGCTGCCATCTTCATTGTTACCATCCATGACATATTTAGGGGATATGCAGAATGGTTGTGTGTTTTTTGTCCAGAAGTCTACTTTGTCATTAAGTCACTATGGCCCCTGGTGAAACCTAGCTTTGGTTTTTACAGATATTATCACTACCTGTACTCCCATTATCTGCCAGCCAGCCTGAAAAACATGGTGGACCAACTGGCCAATTGTGAGGATATTCTCATGAATTTCCTGGTGTCTGCTGTGACAAAATTGCCTCCAATCAAAGTGACCCAGAAAAAGCAGTATAAGGAGACAATGATGGGTCAGGTAAGAGTAAGAATTCTCTTCCCTTGCTTCATTCAGGGGCGGCTCAGCCTGGACATATGAGGACTTGTATTCCTCCAAGTACTCCTCCAGAAACATAAGGAGGAGATGCTAGAAAGAAAGCTCTAAAGGAATTTAAGATTGGCACATGGATGATAGGAAGACCCAAGTCAAGAGGATCTTTATGCCAGGAATGTAAACTCTCATATGACCTATGGTGACATGAAAAACACATGTCCTTCAGAGTATGTCTTAGTCCTTTCTGGACAAAAGTGCCATTGACTATATGGCTTAAATAACAAACATTCATTTCTCAGAGTTTGGGCGGCTAGGGAGTCCAAAATCAAGATGCCAGCAGACTGGGTGTCTAGTGAGTGCCTGCTTCCTGGTTCAATGACTCCTGTGGGTTCACTGTTCTCACATGTCAGAATGAAGGGGCAGAGAGTTCTTTGGGGTCCCTTACATAAAGGCACTAATCCCATCCCCGAGGAACTCCATTCATGGCCTGATCAACTTCCAAAGGCCCTACTTACATATACTATCATGCTGGGGACGTCGTTTCAACATGCATATTCACTCCACAGCATAGTTAAAAATTACAAAGAGTTCAAGCAACTTTATCTGTAGGGGCGTTATTTAATGAGTCACAAGGAAAACTTCAACACCGCCTTCTGGTGTTGGTTCTTGAATTCAGTGTGCTTCCTGGTAACATACCCGGAGTCACAAGACTTGATTTTCAGTTCTAAGACCAGCATTTATAAGCTGTAGCCAAGTTGGTTATCTTCTAAAACTCAGTTTGCTCATCTTTAATACAGAAATAGTGCAGTCTGCCTCACAGAGTTGAGATAATATGTATGAAAGCTTTTATGAAACCACAGTAAAACATTTTGTTGAGTCTTAAAATTTTAATACTAAAGATACTTTCAAGGAAATGTAATCCAGCTTTTTCCTTTTACAAGTAAGAAAACTGGGACCTAGAGAATTTTAAGAATATTGCCTCAAGTCACTCAGTAAGTTAGAGACAGAACTGGGAGCTGAATCCCAGGCTCTGTCCATGTTATTGCTTGTGCTCCACGCCAGTGTCTTGGTATCAGGTTCATCTGGATATACTGAAGTTCATCTACCTTTATTTAACTTGGACAGAGTCCACACTATAAGTAAGAAATCGTGAGATCAAAAACCTTAAGCCAAGTCTATCCAAGATAAATCATGGATCATCAACAGATTGGAGTCAAGTTGACTAAGCATGCTTTACCATAGTTGTATCAGTTTAGTTGCTGGGGGTTCCCATGGGCTCATCCTAACAGGTACCGAAAATCGTATGCAAATCTGTTTCTTGGCCACGGAAATCTTAGCTGTGACTCCCTTACGGTAACACAATTGTTTTTCATTCACTAAATTTACTAAGAGCAAAGGCTTCATGGAATTTTCAAGTTTATAAAATTTAATCATTCAGTATTTACTGAACATTTGCACACTTTTGGGCTCCTTTCTATGTACTCGTTAGGACAAAAGAGCTGTTCTTAATGAGCAAAGAGGCTGGTGAAAAACTCTATTTCCCTCTAATTCTTGAAAGGACAGGCAAGAGGATTTGCTAGACCTTTCCATTTTGAAGGTTGGAAGACTATTGAAATTCAAACAAGATGTTTTGTCTACCGTGTGTCCTGATATTTTTTATTCTCATGGAAGGGCCACACCATGTCTTTAATGTTGCTTACTCAGAGAGTTCTTCAGATGCCCCTCAGATTATATGCTCATTAAGGGTGGAACTCTAATAAACACATAAGGGGTTGGTTTTGTGCCCTCTTCATAGATTTGCCTAAATCTGCCAGACTAAAACTTCTGATAACTTCAAGTGTTTTGGGGGGCAAATCTATATGTAACCTTAGATGTGACTACTTATGTCTCCAGATGTGACAACTTGGATACAAGGGATCTTCAAAATGACGTTGGAGAACCTACATTATCATTTACCTACATTTTCTATAAATGTTTTGAAATCCCTTGGTATTTGCCCCCTTCTCATCATAGACATTAGTGAGACTGGTGAAATAAATGGATATCATTAGATTGTGAATGCTTATGTTTCACAGGAAAATATATTTTCTAATACATGTCATTGGCACAATATACCATTAAAAATCTAGAGTCAAAAAGAAAAAAAAAAAACTTCAGTGATGCCACTTTCTTTCCCCTTTTTTTAGTTTGTGAGTGAAAATGAGAGGGAATTGAAACTCTTGACAGTATTTTCATTTCCATGAATGAATACTTTTGCTTCAGCATGAGAGTCTGGCACATATGGAAGAGTGAGTGAATCTGAAATGGCCCACAAACCCCTGTCACTTTAGGAAAACAATGAGGTACCTCTGGGACCATCTTCCCTGATACGAACTCAACTCATGGAAAGATTAATTTGTTACTGCTCTCTGATTTACCGAGTCTAGTTCTTTTAGTATAAATGGGAAAGAACAAAACCTGAGTTCTGCCCTCTTCTACCTTTGAATTAATAACTGTAACTACCTTAAACCTGCTCCTCATATATAAAATGGAGATGTTATTACTGGGTACATCCTTCACCAAGTTGCTGTTTGGCTCAAATGAACTTCATGAAAACACATGAAAGTATATTTCTAACAATATTTGAGGATACAAATGCATTGAACACACACACACACACATGCACACACACATTATACATGTATATCATTGAAGAGTTACCATTGACATAAATGAGTTCGTGGGGTTTTTACTCATTATCAGACATCCCATATTTTCCATGTTATATAAAAATATGGCTTTAAAGACAATATGCTTAGTCATACTATTTAAGTTTCAGCACACAAGTCACTTAAGATTTTCTTTTAAATTTACATGGTCTAAAAATATTTAGCCAACCTTGTGGGCAATGGACAGAGCTATAAAGATGGTTAGCTATCGTTTCTACTTACTCATAAATCTTCTTTTCTATTCTAGGTGAGCATTGACTCATTGTAGGGCTGATAGTCATATAAAAAAGTAATCTTTTGGCATTTTCATGGAATGGGAAACACAGCCACTCTCTTATATTAAGAGCAGAATTTTGAAATTTCAGTCTGTAAACAGTCTCATAAACAAATGCCCTATGGGTACTTCACAAAGAAAATGAAAAATGGAATTAAACAGAATGTATTTTGTTGCAAAATACATTCTGTCTTCAGAAAGTTCCTGGAAAATGTGTGAAAAACTGCATGGATTTCAGGTGTTTTTTTTGTTTGTTTGTTTTTTTGGTTGTTATTTCTTCTTGCACCAGAATAAACCCATTTACCCATTTTTTAATTCCATTTGTCCACAGACTTTTTGAAGTACCCTCACATATCACTAAATTGTCCCTTTGTACTTCCTGGAGTCATCTCAAAGAAGTCAGTAGAAGGGAAAACAAATCAAAAATAGCTTTGAATGATGGATACGCGTTTCATTTTGTTCTTCCTCAACTGTACATGTGATTTTGTAATAAATAATTCAATGGAGTTTTTTTAAAGGTAGAAAGAAAGTATGAGGGAGGAAGAGTGGGGTAGACGGGCCAGCATTGTAGCATAGTTGGTTGAGCGGCTGCCTGCAATGCTGACATGCCACATGGATGCTGGTTCCTGTCCTGGCTGCTCCACTTCCCAGCCGGCTCCCTGCCAGCGGCCTGGGAAAGCAACAGAAGATGAGACCCAAGTTTTCAGGTCTCTGCCACCCACGTGGGAAACCTAAAGAAGCTCTTGGCTCGTGGCTTTGGCCTGGCCCAACCCCAGCCACTGCAGCCGTTCGGGCCATGAGCCAACAATTGGAAGATCTCTCTCTCTCTGTCTCTCCCTCTCTGTGACTCTGCCCTTGAAATACATAAAACAAATCTTTTAAGAAAAATAAAAAGAGTGGGATAGACAGAAAGACTTGTAAAAGTTGGTTCTTGAGATCTCCAGATCAACCAAGTAATAAATAGGATTTAGAAAACCATTTTTGAAACTATAAATACTTTGTGGGTCATAGTAGTATTAGTCACCAGTGCAAAGACCAGTTTTCTATTCAGTGACTCTAGTAATTGAGGTTCAGTTGGCAAGTCATTGACTGAGCTGAGAACTGGCTATTCAGAAAATGGGGTAGTCAACATGGATCTTTGTTTATGTGTTTTGTTATTGAGGAACTTGGCATATCTTGGGGAAGCCTTATGCCCAGGCTAAAACCCAGGATCAGAACTTGGGATTGTACCAGGTGTGTAGACAGTGAAGCTTGCCGGCCTGCCCAGGCCCCGGGCTCTGCATCTTGCTCGTTTGCCTGGCACCAGTTTCTGCAATGTTCCCTTCTCACCGTGCAGTTCTCTCAGTGTCTGCTTTCTCTCCTTTCCCTAGACTTCCCGGGCCTCCCGTTGGGCTGACCCTGACCACTTTGCCCAGCGACAGAGCTGCATGAATACGTTTGCCAGCTGGTTTGGCTACATGCCGCTGATCCACTCGCAGATGAGGCTCGACCCCGTCCTCTTTAAAGACCAGGTCTCTATTCTGAGGAAGAAATACCGAGACATTGAACGACTCTGAGGAATCCAGCCGAGTGGGGGAGGGGAAGTGAGAGGGACGGGGTCAAGCTGCTCTCTCTTCCCCGTGCAGATCCGCTCATCTGCGGAGCCAGATTGTGCCAAGTCTCCAAAAACACTTAGATGAACAGAATGACAGAAAAGGCCAATGAGAACTCAACTCCTGGCTCCTGGGACTGCACCGGACTGCTCCAAATACACTCACTGGCTTCTTTGTCCCAAGACTAGGTTGTGTACAGTTTAATTATGGAACATTAAATAATTATTTTTGAAATGATTGCTATGCAGGTTTAAACTTTTTTAATGATCAAAACTATTAAAAACCAGAGTTCTTTCTTTAATCAAAATTGTGTTGGTTGTGACTATTTCAAAGCTGCTGCTCCTATTCCCACAGATGACATTGCCATTGGTCACGCAGAGTTTCCTGTGGTTACAAAAGCTCAGACTTCATGGAAAACACACTAAATCACTCTACCCGGTGTCAAGAAATAACTGAGCCTAGTTAAGACAAATTCATTATTTGACCTTGCCAGTATAGATTGTTTTCCACTTTGAATTTTGAAATCCACTTGAACTTTTATCTCTAAAATGTCTCCGCATGAGGGAAGCTATTACGACTTTCAGGTAGGCAGTTCCAACTGAAAACTGTATGTTTGAGATAGACAAGTATGTTAATCTTTTTTCCTGGGGGGTGGGTGGGGGGAGTTAGTACTAAGAAAATACTGGTATAATTAAGAAAGAACTTGCACAAGGAACCAGCTAAACCACCTGCCAACACGTTAGTGAGGTGGAAACATGGACCACAAAACTAACCCAGTGCTTTTCAGGGGTGTGGGCTAGATTATTGGCTCAACCATTGACATATGGCTGTGTAGAGCTGAGGAGAGGCTATGGGTTTGAGGGCAAGGAAGACTGAATATACTGGAGGAACAGTGTATTCATCAGGTGAGCTCTTGAATGTCTGGGGAAAACCTCAAGCTTCAGGAATTTCTCTGTTGAGAAAGAAGTCACAGTGTGTAGACGGATACCACTAAACGAGAGGATTGCTGTTCTGAAGTAAGTTTAGGGTGTGCCTCACCATTGAGACCCTAACCCAAGTTTTGGTTTAAAAACGTTGTTGTTTTGAGTAAGAATCTGGCAAACAAAATGATCAGAAACAAATGTGAGTATTGCTTAATTTTAATTTTTAAATCTGTCAAGAAGTTTCATTGTGCTTCTTGTTAAAAAGAACATTTCTATTCCTGTAAATGCAGTCTTGAGCATATGATAATTGTGACACTGCAAGTAAAAACTGGGGGAAAAAAAAAGCAACCCCATATCCCTCAACTCTGTCATAAAAGTTGGAGGCTTCTGATTTTAACTTCTTTCTTCTACTTGGAAAAATCAAGAAAGAACAGGGACAAAGACAGGATTGAGTCCTCCTGCCTATTATACAGAATAAACAATAAGCACTTTAAAGGTTTTCTTTTCCCTCTCCTATACTCTCATAGATTTCATGCAGTTATTTCCAGTTTTATTTTAGAAGAGAAGATCACAATTATGTTGGAATATCTTAAAGTGACTGGCTTAGATCAGTGGAAACCACAAGGTCAATAGACTTTCTAGATAGATGTCTGGGAGTGAAAGAACCAGCAGCCCTAGCTTGGGGATGGTTCTGTAGGCAGGAGTACAGAGCAAGGACCGGAGCCCACAGACCCATGTGCTGTGTTATGAGTGCTGTGTAGGCAGTGAAGTTCAAGTAAAGGGACTTTTCCTTTGTAGCCTCTTGCCTCAGTACAGTATTTGTTAAAAAAAAACAATTCTTAGGTCCATGGTTCTTGTACTTGTGTCTTTCTATAAAATGCCCAGCCTAATAGGTTTCATGCCATTTAAGCTACAGTTCTCAGTGAGTTAAAGAGTTAATAATTAATCCTTGTTTGTCTGGTCCTTGCAAATTTGTATTTAATTTTTTTTTTCAGGATTGGCAAATTATCCCTGCATCTTTCCAGAAAAAAAAAAAAAAGGCAATGTTTTGCTCAACAACCCTAAGCCCCTAAGCTTGTCATCTTGGCTTACAAAGCAGTGTCCCTAATTGTATGAGTCAGTCCCATGAGTGCCTTGCCAGATTTACCTGTCACAATGCTCACAAGGCAAATAGCCTGCACAAACAACATGTGTTGTGTGAAAAAAGATGGTAATTATAAATGAGACCAGGATCTGACACACTTTTCATCCGCTTTAAATCTCCACGGTTTCATTGTATGTCATTCTCTGAGCAAATCTCTTTGGGACGCTAGCAAGTGTGTTCTCTTCTCATAGGAAACATACAGCTGGGAAATGAACAATGCTTAACAAATCAGTGAGACCCAACACTAGGTATAATTTTAATTTGCTTAGGGAAAGGGTTGGAGTGCATTGCAGCAAGTTGACAAATTATAGCCATCTCTGTAGGATGTCAGAAGTTATCTTCAGCCAACTTTAATGATAACCAGGGGTCCCTAAGTAAGCCAACATGTGCTGTGTTGGTAAGAAGCCAAGGGCAGGAGGATAGTGCCAGCCACGTAATGAGTTACAGGCAGAATTTCATTGAGGACTCAGCCACTCATGATTTTCACACAACATCTTTTTCCAGTACTCCATTAGGACACGTGTTCTTAAAACTCTTTTTCAAAATAGCTGGCTATGTATGTATCTATATGAAAAGGCTTCGATATATAGTAAATATTAAACATATCAACTTTGTTGAAAACTACAAAATGCTCCAAAATTGAGACTGTAAAGAAAAATCCTTGGAATAATTACTGTAGCCCTGCCACAGCTAGATGGGCCCACATGGGCATATTGGCAAAGATCTGATGCTTCAGAATAAAAGGGATGTCGCGTACCTGGAAGCTTAGGTGCATTACGGTTTAAATTTCTTCTTGTTACAAATGGTGCTCAAAGAAGGATCAATCCCAGTTGCTTCCTTCAATTTCCCTTTTGGAATGATTTTTGTTTTTCATTACAGTAGGCTATGTTAGCCCTTATTTTGGTGATTCTCAAACTTGAAGGACTATTGTAACAGTGGCCTTTTATAAAGGTCACTGAACTGTAATTTAATCAGGAGTGAGATGACTGTGAGAAGATCTCCGCACTGTTTAATAGAAAAAACAAAACAGGGCACCTGATTCAAGAACTAATGGAACTTTTAATCAAACCTGTTTGAAGGGTGGGGAGAAGGCAGAGAGCCTCGCCAGGTCAGACTCTGAATGAGACTCTAGCTGGACAAGGCTGGATTAGGGATGTACAAACCAGATCTTGAAGTTTCTCATGTTTTCTCAGGTCCTTGACAAATCCAGTTGTAAAAGTACCAGTTACTGCCACCAACTTGCAAGAAGGTGTGAGCCTGCTTGTAGTGACGATAATGGCCGTACATCAGCAACCCCGCTGTCAGGTTCTTTACGTAGTTTCAGTTCACAGAAACTATGGACAAGCACCTTTCAGCTGGTTCTGTCACTCTTGGCCAGATGGAAGCCAGAAACTTCTTTTGCCGCCAGCCTCATTTTCTCAGGCACGCTGCATGAGGCAATGTTGTTTTGAGCTCTCAGTGGATAAGCATTAGTATCAGCCTGTGTCTGCTTAGTATAGGACCTTCGATATGTATAGATTAAATTATTCCTTGACTCCAAGTCTGTTTAAAAGACAGGGTTGGAGCATCCTAAGAGGGTTCTCTCCTATCAATTCAGCAATGCCTTCCAGAAGCTCTGAATAGAAAAGCTGCTCTTTATACTCTATCTTGATAATAAAGATGACTCCTGGAAACCATCTCCCCTTTTTGTCCTTTCAAAGGATTCTGTTTCCATGACTTGACTTAACAGGGATGAACGTTGTCTCTAATCTAGAGTTCCATAAAAGGATTCTGGATGAGCTACTCAAACTGGGCCTTCTGTGGTCCAATAAGCAAGTACAGGAGACAACTATTGAGAATACTAAGCCCTCAGACTAGTGTGGTCTCACCCTTTTTGAAAATCAAGTGCAGCCTGCCTTTTAGTCATTCTATTTTTGTAATTATTTGCCTTTTGGGCTTCAAAGGTCATTTGGTTTCTGCAGTAGTTTTCTGTTCTGTTCTCACAGGAGTACATCCTTTTCATTTTGGTTGTAATCTTTACTAAAATTAGGGCCATGCAAATGACCTGGTTACCTTATAATGAACCTTGTGTATTTATTTTGAGAAAAAAAAAAGATGTATAGGATATGTTGAGGGGTAGAAAGAAAGACAACTAAAACTGGAACTATTTTAGGTGGCAAATTGTAAAGCAAAAAAAAAGTATACCTTATTTTGTATACAATGTACATTTGGGACAGAATTTTCTAATATGTTGCCAATGTTTTTGTAGTGTCACCGTAGATCTTTTCTGAAGTGTGTTCCCCATTTGTTATAGACTATGACTAATTTAGTGCAATTAAACCCTAACGTTTGTGTGTGAGAGAGTATCTGCAAGAAAATCCAAAGCCATAGATCATTTACTCCCTTGACCTGTGTAACTTTATGTCTGAGTTTTGCCATCCAAGATAGATTGTTTATAGAGAGTGTCACCAAAGAATTTTTCCTTCCAATTTATAGAAGAAAAAAAGAAATTATTAATAAATGACATGACTTTTCATCTGCGTGGTTTTTCATTCCATCTTATCTGTTGACTACAGAAACACACCAGTTCTCAAGAGGATTCAAGGGTGCTGGGAAATACAGAGCTTGTGTGGAGACTCTGGGGGAGACAGGCAGCTGAGGGTGGAAAAGTGTGCAGCTACAGGTCCAGCTCTGGCAGCCCGGGTGCCGCCCAGCGCCCAAGCTCATGGGAAACTCGGGAATGCCAGCAATAGCCTTTTTCCAGGCCAGATGCAGCTGGTGCTGTTGGCAGCAGGCCAGGGTGAACGGTGGTGATGTGCCCAGTTCACAGCGTTCCTCCACATGGACACCGGGACAAAGTGGCAGGGCCGGGCCCCAGAGCATCTGGAGGCTGACAGCTGTGGCCATTACCCCCCTTGGTTTCAACTACTGCCTAGAGCTCATGAATCACTGCCTGGCGAGGCATTTATGAAGCTGGCATGGCTCAAAAGAATTTATAAATGGCTCCAGGTGTGTTGCAGCTCCATGATTCGTGGCCACTACAGAAAAGTTTTATGGCAGTAATGAATCCCTTTCTTGAACTTCTCTTTCCTCTCTTCCTTGCTCCCTCCTTCTATGCCAGTGACATCTTCTGCCTGTCTGCATTACTGTTCTATCATCATTTTTTTTTTCCAGAAAGGATATATGTCACCAACTTCATATATCTGCAGGAAGTCAAGTGCCAAATAGCTCTTGGAGGTGTTGACTTGTTTTGTGACATCG